ATTGAACCCATTTATGCCAGTGGTTCTTGGAGCTTCACTCCAAGTTTTGAAAATGAAATCGAAACTGGTCAAATCGCTTGGTTGCACTGTCTGATTTTCTTATTTTAATTTAATTTTTTTGGTACATTTCACCTTTTTTATTCAAAATATTGTGATCATTTCTCATAAAGTAATAAAATAGACAAATATCTCAACCAATCATCATCATTTCTATTGCTACCTTACACAAACACTCAAAACACACGAAGAGTCTGAAGAATAGGAGAATTCAATACATTTCCGTGGGAAGCCACTCTGTATTAGAACAATTGTGTCCCTTAACTCCTCCTTTTTAGTCTTTCTTTCGCACTTAATTTCAAACACACACATATACTATATACTCACATGCACACATAATCTATTAGTATTAGTATTAGTATTGTTATTAATGGGTGAAGAATTCCTTTAGCACCCCTGCCTTTCCTCTGAGTGTTTCCTATGTGCCCACTAACAGAGGAAACCCATGTTCCAGGAATACTGCAGTGCTCCTTCCAAGAGCATTAATAGTTATATTACATGCTTCTTTTTCAGGGATACTTCTGTGTGTTTTGGCTAAATCTGTACAACCAAATAAAGGCCATTAGTCTGAACCAGCAGCTGCTGTAGTGCTTTGAAAATAGCAGCTGTGCATCATGGACTCAAGCTGAAGGGCCTGGGGAAGTGAAGAGGGCCTTCATTTTTGTGAATTGGGATGAAGCCGAGGGATCGGCGCACAGTGGGCCTTACACATCTGTGTCATTGCAGGACAAATAAGCAGTTATGTAAATGTATTTTAAATTCTGTACTTTCTGAGTGTCAGTCAAGGGCAGGAATCTTGAGGCCTCTCACAATTAAATTCGATTTTGATCGAGTACCAAGGTGCGGTAATAAACTGATTGTTTATGCATTATTTTTTTCACTTATTTGTCTTCACATGTAGCATTATCTTCGTTAAATTTGAATAGCGACACACTACGGGTGAGTCACAGTATTCGAATGGTCATGGTTTGAAGGGGACCTATTTTGCGCATTTTCAGTGTTCATAATTTTATTTTTGGTCTACAAAAATAGATTTACATGCTTTGTGCTCTGATTGGTCAGCTTGCCCACTATGGTCTGAGTAGTCAACCGCCAAAGTGATTCCGCCCCTACATGTTCCACAGTCCTGCAGTCTGCAGACTAAGATTTGATCTCACTAATGCCACACCCTCTCTTCATTCACTCTCTAGCTCGCTCGACCACCGCTGCTCTCTGTCGGCCAACTTTGAATGGTGGACACCATCTGTCCCTCGTGACTGGCTGGTTCTCACTGTTCACGTGGGCTGTGGAGTGGGTTTAGGGCAGGCAATGAAATTTGGGGACAACAATAAAAAGAACGGCTCTCAACAACGATTTGGCTCCCTTCGTTCTTACCTCGAGTCCGTTCAGAGGTTAGAGGTAGCTCAATACCACGTTTTTCCAATACTAAAAGGTCGAGTGTCATCCCATATGGTGATGTAATCAAAAATCAGTAAATGTTTTAGAGGTCAAAAGTCATTATACTTTGATGGAATATTAACATTAACATTTTGTCTTTTTAACAATGAATCTTGCCTGATATGACCAGGAACAAGAACTAACGCGATGGAAAAACGTATTGCTTTCAGGTTGACTTTAATCTTAGACTGAAGGTTTCTCATGATCTGTTTTACTTTATATTAGGTTGAACTACAAGCAATTCTGTGACATTCAAGGTTAGATTTGTTACAGAATCTGATCATTTTGTTTTCCAATATAGAATTCAGTATTTTTTGCGGCATCGCATCAACGCCGTCTCTATCTAAGTTTATAGACATTACTTACTGTACATCCCTAATAGCTACAGCCTGAATGAATAACTCAGAAATACAACCAGACCAAAGGGTCCTATTCCCTGTAGGCTGCAGTGTGTTACTGTGTGTGTGTGTCTGTTGCTCTGATGGGGATGATGTGTGGGAGGTATTTTGAGCTCGGCCGGCCTGTGCGTGACGGTGACTGCTTTTAATTCCCACCATAATATATCACTTCTGCAGCCTCTCTCCTTCTCTCTCTCCTTCTCACTTTATCTCTCTCTCTCCTTCAGTTTCTCTATTTTATTTCTCTTCTCTCCCCTTCTCTGTTTCTGTGTCTGTCTTTCACTCTCCTCTATTTATTTATTTTCTCCCGCCTTTTCTCTTTCTGTCTTCCTCTTTCTCTCTCCTTTCTCTCACACACCCCCTTTCACAGTTTCTTTCTCCCTCTATCTTTCTGCCTTCCTCTCTTCCTCTTTCTCTATTTTTTCTCTCCCACTTGCTCTCTCTCCTTTATTCTTTCTCTGTGTTTTTTACCCTCTCTCTCTTTCTCGCTCCTCTTTTTCTCTCCCCCTCTCTATGTTTCTTTCTTTTTCTCTCTTACTTTCTCACTCTCCTCCCATCTGTACACTCTCTGTCTGTCCCTATGTCCTTCTCTCTGTGCATATGTTCACTCTGTAAGCTGTACAGTGTGTGTGTGTGTGTGTGTATGTGCGCATGCATGTGTGTGTGTGTGTGTGTCATGTTTGCCTGGTCATGGTCATAATCTGCTGAGTGAGCAAGCGTTTGAGCCTCTTGCTCTGGGAACCTCCCTCCTCGTCATCTGCTTCCATTAATAAGTCAGAAGTGCGGATGTCAACACACACACACACACACACACACACACACCTGCACACACACACTGTCCTGATGAACATGCGCTGTATTCAGCTCTTAAGTCTGGACTGATTAGTCGCTCGTGGCAACTGTGTGTGTGTGTGTGTGTGTGCGTGCGTGCTTTGTGTGTGTGTGTGTGTGGCTGCCTCTCCCTGCTGGAGGAGGAGAGAGAGAGAGAGAGAGATGAAGAGATGAAATTAGAGATGAAGGCAGCAGTAGGTACATGGACAGTAAAAGGTTACCCACTAGCCTTGGGCAGATAATTGATAGTATTGAATATTGCGTAACTAAATGAGTGCTGATATGCAAATTATTGTTTGTTTGATTTTTTTCATGTGTCATATTATGTTATTGTTATTGTTAATTGTTATTATACACAATAGAAAAGATTCCACTTAATTATAAGCAATACAGAACAGTGCATTACCAACTGATTAACTACTTATAATGTTATATTACTAATACATAATACAAAGGCCACTTGGAAAGATTTTAACAATAATAAAAAAAATGTTACTTAAGATCTACTTTCCAATAAGCGAGTGAAATGGACGAGCGCTTTCGGAAGAAGGGTGGTAACGCATCAATTTGGCAGTATTTTGGTATCAACCAACTAAACAGACAAACTATTGGATTTTAACAGTGTTACATGTTATCTGTGCAGAACAGAGCTATAGAGTAAGGCTCTGTAACACTCACATAGTGTACGTCGTAACTACATTGGAATCATAATATGGTTTATCATAAAAGTGGGCAATATGGCAAACGTAATATACTTCAGGATTTCAGTTTTCACGATACACAGTATGTCGCAATATTTATTTTTACTGCCATGCATTTATAAAACAATAAGTTGTAACAGATAAAGTAGTGCCACATTTAAAAATACGGTAAAAAAACTGAATGAAATATAGTTAACCTATTTATTCTCTCTTTTAATCAAACATGCAGTTGGCTAGTGCTTTTAAACATAATTTATCATGATGAGAATAATGATTGCCACATTGCCCAGTCTGAGGTTTTTCCTGACTCCGATTTTCCCCCCTTTTTCTGTTAGCACCAGCTATTGGTGAGCTCCCACACCCGTTCAGATGTGGAATAGAAATTTGACACATAATTTTGAAATACTGTCATAAATTTTTAAATATCGTTATCATTTTTACATACTGTGGTATACCATCATACCACCCAGACCTAGTGAATATCATTAAACCCACACCACAGCTCCACTTTGTCCAGGTTAGCACTAGGTGCTAGCTTATCTAGCATGCTAAATATGCTAAATAAAGTTAAATAAAGTCGAGTGGCTGGTGGTGGAGTGACAGAGACAGAACCTTACCTGTTCTGTGGTGTGTTGGGCTCTTAGTCTGCCAGCTAAGCTAACATTAGCATCAAAGCCAGCTTCACTGTAATGTACTAGTTAGCACTGTTTAACATTTAGCATTTATTGTTGTTAGACTGATAGTTTAACGTTTATTAAACAATGGATCTAAAATCATGACAGTGGAGCTGCAATATTTAGCAGTTGTTGTCATTTCATGTCCTGTTTGAGTACTCAGGCTATGATTAATCCTTGTGTGCGTGCAAATGAAAGCATAATGTTTGTGATCAACAGTCAATCTTGGGAAACATGAGGAGGGGTTCAGAGGATGTCTACATAAATGTGTAAAATGTAAAGCATTTGCGATGGTACAAAATCAATGCTGTCTCCACTCCAACTGCATTAGTATTCTTAATATTTATGTAGTTTGATTTGCTTCAAAAAACAGTATTCTTCTTTTGATTGACGGCACAAACAATAACATCAACGAAAAAGTGACCAGAGGTGTCCATCTCCATCAGTCCCTGATTGGTTAGAAGCTCAGACCTGGTTGATCTAAGAGATGCTTATGATCTGAAATCCTGAGCTCAACAGGCCCTGGAGCAGGTTAGGTATGTGGCATTGATTGCCATGATGTATCCCAGTAAAAAGTGATCCACCGCCATGAGACAGAAGATCAAGGGTTAGACTGCGCTAAGCTTAAAGTCAGCTTGTATTTTTCAGGTGTATTTTTTTTATTGTTTATGTGAGGTAATGTTAGCATGGTTATAAGTTTTTCATTAAAACCTAGTTTTGATGAGCTACTACATTAAGGACAGGGAGTGTGCATGTCAGTTTTATGTGTTTTATGTATGTGTCTATGCTAATGTGTTTATTATTTATGTGCACACCAGTTTACTATATATATATATATATATATATATATAAATCTGTACTTTTTCTGATGGATGATTTTTGTGTTTGTATTCTCTTTGCAGGCATACGGTTCAGGGTGTGATATAGTGATCTTAGCCAGTGATTTTGAGTGTGTGCAGATCATCCCTGGAGCTCAGCATGGAAACATCCAGGTGGGCTGTGTGGAGTGCTCACACCAACTCGGCCGGGTAAGCCTGACTTATGTTATCTTGATGAATTTAATGCATGACTGTAGGCCTAACCCTGCATTCACACCGGCCGCGGTGCGTCAAGAGGCAAAAGTTGCTAAAAGTTGTGAACGCAGGGCAACACATCATTGCTGTTCAGAAAAAATAAGGATCTCCAAAATGTCAACTTTATAGGAGAAGGCAGAAATGTTCTTTACTTTTAATGTAAGTTAATGTAATTTAATTTTATTTCTCTCAGGCCATTTTGGAACGTTTCTACTGAGCTATTCATGAGCTTTTCACTCAATGTGTAGGACAGTTGCAGTGTTGTAGAAAAAGAGAAATCACTGAAACCTAGGGCTCCAACTAAATATTATTTCTATAATCGCCTATAAACTGTTATAGACTGTAAACTTCCTTTGTTGGTGCTGACATAGTTTAAAGTTCAGTCCGCGTGACAGGTGATTTTTTTTTCTTTAATGGTGCAGCGATGCAGCAATTAATGAGAAGTATTGCAGCCTGTCGATGATGAGTTGTATCGTGTATCGTTTGAACGTTGTGCATTACAGAGTCGGGTTTTTGAAGAAACTCTCTCAGCAATACAAATCTGCAATTTTTGTAATTATAATAGGCGTAGTTGTTGAATACTACATTGAATAATTGTTTATTCAAATTACCACATCTAGCTTATGTACATATTTTGAGCCAGACCAACATTATTAGTAGCATGGTAAGCCTGATTTGTTATCAGCACTGTCTCTCAAACTGTTCTATTGGTTTTAGATTGCGGCGTCCTATGGAAACATTGTCTGCATTTTTGAACCAGTATCTACCAACCTGAACAAGAGGCACAAGGTGAGTGTCCATGGTGATGATCAACAATAAGATAGAATACTGGGGATGGTGTTGATGATGAAGATAATTATGAATATGACAGTGATAATAATGATAAGGTGATAGTCACGGTGATCACTATGGTGGTGGTAATAATTGTACATAAGATAGGGATGATGACGATGATAATTATGAATATCATGCTAATGATCGTACAGATTATGATGGATATCCTAATGATGAAGAAGAAACATGAATATGATGAGGATGATGATTGGATATGGATCATTCTGCTGTATTAATTCAAAGTCAGATTTGAAAACACTTTTGGGACTTCTTACCGACTTGGACTGAGATTAAAAGGCTTTTATCTCTGTACTTTAATTATATCTATTTAATTAAAACAAATGATTGAACATTACATTTTGTCACTACCAAAATAATCATAACACTACCGAAACTTTACCAAATGTTTCAGTAGTGACGATTTTGGTAGTCACACTGATTTTCAGACTTGGGCTCACATTTACTTCAAAACAATGGGATCTAACTGCTCACCGTGTGACCATTAGGTTCAATAATGCAGTCTCACTTCCTGCTCTAAAATGCAGGGGCATGGCTAAGATAAGGCTCCACCCACAGACAAAAAACTGTGTTTTGGTAGTGACATGAAATTGTGGGGGAGCATTTTTTAAATAAAGTTCTTTATAAATAAAATTCATGCAAGCAAACAACATTGAAGCAACACTGGGTTTAGGACAGACACTTCCCAATAGAAAGCACCCTATAAATGATGATTTTGTACATATTTAGCGTATTACTGTCTCTATTAATGCCTTGGATTTAAATAGATCAGAACATAGTCCTTGTAAATATCTGGGGTTTGAATGCATGTGTTGTAAATATATATTTTTTTAATATTTAATTTTTTTTTTTACTGTAGGCCTGCAGTTTGAACTAATTCGGTTCAGCACCATCCTATTCATAATTGTTTTCATGTATAGAGGATGGTGCATGTTTTTATGATGGTAATTTTGAAGAGGATTGTGGTGATAATAGGACATCTGTTGATGATGATGATGATGATGATGATGATGATGATGAAGTGATGTAAATGCATCAGTCAGTAGTAGATTACCCCACTCATGTCACCTTTCCTTCTTTATGAGCACCATGTGCAATGCAGTGCAACAGCCTCCATTCTCTCCAAATTACAGCTCATCAGCTGCTGCTTGCTTAAGTAATGTTTCTGCATATCAAATAACGGAGAGCTCTACCTATCGGGACAGTGTATTTATAGTACTGAAGCTCTACAGAGGGCCCACAGTCTGCCAGTAATGAGACGCTTTCCCTTTTGATCTAGTCAGCTCAGTTCCCTCGGCTGTGTTATTTGGCTGGATGTAAAATGTGGTTAATTTTATGGACAGAGTTACAGTGTATGCTGATGCTGAGACGATTTTGAAGTTGTGTGATTTCGAATTTGTTGCATCACTTTATGTCTCATTGTGTTTTTGTTTGAATCGCAGCAACTGAACTACCAATGGCAGAAGACGGGGCAGTTTCTGCTCAGTACAATGGCCTACAGCCTTGCCTGGGACCCACAAGGTGAGAAAGGAAATGAGTGAATGAGTGAGTCTCGTCTGGAACGGTCAGAGGCAAAAGGCAAAAATGCCATTAAAAAAATCTCCATATCTGAAATTTTACATTGATGCCATGCAGTCTCTGAGCTTGCCACAGCACAAATCTTAAGAATAAACAAATAGATTGAAACATTTGGATGAAATGGGAAATTTGTAACACTTAATTTGTAATTAGTCCAGTCTTTTGGTCACATGGGACTACACGTTTTTAACTTAATGGAAAATCCAATCTGACTGTGAATAAAAGTATTAAATTACATTAGGCATGTGTTTTATATTTAAAAAAACACAGTAATTACCTAACCTTTTATCACAGTTTATGACATCACCATATTTCAATTTAATAAAAATGACATTTTTTTAAAATACAATTTTAATGTCGTATGTGTGTGTGTGTGTGTGTGTGTGTGTGTATATATATGTGTGTGTGTGTGTGTGTGTGTGTGTGTATATACATATACATATACATATATATATATATATATATATATATATATATATATATATATATATATATATATATATATATAAATAACAGTTCTTAATGTAGAATTAGTACATTAGTGTATTAGTATCTTCTGTTTCTCAAAAACCCTCCATTATAGATTGCTAATTTCTGCCCTTGGGATTATGAGAATTTCCATTAAGATAACGATTTTTTATCCCCCACTGGACAAATGAAGCTTGTAACAGACATTCTGTTCACCTTTTTTCTGTGTGTGTTCCAGTGAATAATTTAGTAAATATTTCAACTTAAAAGCTAACTCTAATCATTACTGCATTTGCGTGTTAGCCCATTAGCAGTCTGCTAAGATGCTGGTTAAAGAAAATAATCTTCTTAAGTAAGGTTAAGTATTATTTTGGTAGTTTACTTCATAGTTGGCAGTTGGTGACTGCAAACATACATGTATTTTTGAGATTTTTTTCCTTCTTCATGCTGGGTGAGATCTTGAGGGATAAAGGTCTGTCTGCTCCTCTTTCTGCCGTGCTGTGGCTCCTCTCAGAGGACTGCATCACGTGATCAAAGTGTGATCAGTTCAGTCATGCTCAGAAATAAAAGGTAGCTTGCCATCAGTGTTGATAAATACCTCACACATACTGACTGAAATCACTAGTTAGCACAATAACCCCTTTTAAAACAATGATTTCCTACCCTCGTCTCTACTTGTAGTTCTCTGTTCCTCTGCAGAAATCCCTCAGGGAAACCACACTGATTAGTTTCAGTTCCTGTTTATTCTTCTTTGTATTTTCCCTCATGTGTTCTCTGTTTTATCCAAATACTCCCAGTATATTCTTTCACGAATGGGTGATTTTCAAGTCTGAGTATTGGTCAAGATTAGGGGTCAGCAACATGTGGCTCTTTTACTGCCCTGTTGCAGCTCCACAGCAGAATGAGATGTTTAGGTAAAAATAAAATAATCCTGCTGTGCAGTAAAATAAAGCTCTGCTGATCATTCTAACACAGTTTTAACAGTAAACTGTCTTAAATGCTGGAGTTATGTAGAACTGCTAATTCACCCTTTAACACTGAAGATCAGCACAGACTGACTCTCTACAATGTTTTTGAAATTAATCATCAAAGAGAACACCAAGCTTGAAAGAGGGCAGAATTCGTATATAAAAAGGAAACAGCACCTCTCAATTACATATTCTCTCCTACTGTGCTCAATCTGTGACAAAATACACACGATTGTATTTTCATTTTCACAGACTTCACAACCTGTCAGTCATCCCATCAGGGTGGGGTCAACATTATATAAGTGTTATTTATAGCTACTCTACATTTTGTAAACTACATTTACGATGGTTTAATCTCTGCTAAATTGTTGTGCATCATTAAGTAGGGCTACAAGAACATCATTTATCAGAATTAAAGTAACTTTTCACTTTCCTGAACATTTATGGTTGAATGTTTATGTATTTATGTATATATGGTCAGTTCTTAATATGTAGTTCAAGTTTTATATATTTATGCACATATGTATGTGTATATATATATATATATATATATATGTATATATATATATATATTATTATTATTATTATTATTATTATATTTTAATTTAAATGTATATAAATGAGAGAGAGGGAGAGAGAGAAACATAGAGACTCTAGGGGTTTCGAAGTCAGCACTTTGTATGAGTTAGGAGTCTGTTCTAGCACACCTGATTCAGCCTTACTCTCACTTTGTGAAATATAAACTTGTGATGTATAAGCTTGGGAAGTATATATAAGCTTCCATTACTTGTTGGCTAGATTAACCCAAAAGTATACAGGGTTCATACGGGTGCTTGAAATCCTTGAAAATGCAAATGGAATTTTAATGTTGTATCTTCCAGGTTTGAAAAGTGCTGGAATTTTGGATAAAGTGCTTGAAAATGCTTGAAATTGTAACTGTATTTCTTTCACAACAAATATTTGACTGAATAGTTTGGTTATTAGATGGAGAAATAAAAGAAGTTGTGGCCTAAAATGAAAACTCACTTGCGTGTCTGCGTGTGATAGTGATGGGAATTTTGGCTCTTTTTGGTGAACCAAGATTATTTGGCTCGGCTCACTCAGAAGTGCAGACTCTTTTGGCTCCCAAACGGCTCTTCATTATACGACCGTGGAAGAGATCACCCTAACATTCCTTGTATTAAGTTTCAAAAAAGAAAGAAAGAAAGACAGAAAAAAAATGGCTTATGGGCGGGAGCTGGCTCCCATTGTTCATTTAAAACAGGGGCCGGCAACATGCAGCTCTTTTACTGTCCTGTTGTGGCTCCACAGCAGAATTAGAATTAAATTAAAATAATCCTCCTTTGCAGTAAAATAAAGCTCTGCTGATCGTTCTGACACATCGTTCTGTTTTAACAATTAGTGGTCTTAAACGCTGGAGAACTGCCAAATCATCAAACTTTGACCCTGAGCGCAGCAACGCAGACAATCTCACCTAGCTAGTAGCTGACGAAACAGGCAAAGAGAAAGATTTAAGACGAACATTGATAATTTGGAGACGAATGGACTTATTTGCATTTATAAGCACTGGTTTTTTGATATGTTTAATCTGCAATGAGAAACTGTCAAACACCAAAACGTCACAACTCTGATGCCAGATTCTTGTTCAGATTGTCCCATATACCTTAAATGGTGCAGCAGTTGCATTCTGGCTCCTCAGGCATCATTTAAGGTGGAACGGGAAAATGCGAACAAGGAGCTGGCGAATGAGAAGCGACTTCAGCCTCGTGAAAATTTGAACGTTAAGAGACATTTTACAAGAAACTCTACTTTGTTGAAAAGTTTTCTGCCGAACATGCAGCGCGGCTGTAGCTGAGCTTTGGCTTAAAGCAAAGTAAGTCTACGTTTTATATTATGTTTTAGCTTATACTAGAACATTAGCACATACTGAGTGGTAAAATGAGTGGTACCATAGTGAGACAGTAAAATGGACATGGAATATTGTGGCTCACAAGGTGGTTAGATTTTTATTGAAAGGACAAAATGGCTTTTCTTAACATTTGGGTTGTCGACCTCTGACTTTAAAGACCTGGCTCAAGAGCTTGTTCACAACGGATACACCGCTAGCTAGTGTGTGACTGCACTCTGCCAGTCTGTTTTCAAGTTGTAACTATCCACTATTCCTATTGTTTTGATTTGCACAATACTGTGGAAAAAGGTTATAGAGCTGATTGACTGCCTACCTCAAAGGTGATGTTATTTTTGACATTATTAGTAGAGAATTTATTGGAAGTGAAGTTATTTGTCCAGTGATTTTTTGGAGGTAAATGTTCTTGAATTTGACTTTGGAAAAGGTGTATGAACTCTGAGTATAACTATGTCGACTTCATTTGGGATAATGATGGAGCACATTTTCATTTTTCACTTTAACTAATTGGGATGGAGCCTAGTAGCTGGAAGGTTGTGGGTACAGGACTGGACTGGATTGGACTGCGCCAGGTGAAGCTGTGCTGCTCCCAGACTGTGCATAATTAAGCAGACAAAAGGATCAGTAAAGTACATAATACAACTTTGAATCATATGGGTTTGGAGCAGGTAAACGACTGTAAGGAGTGCAGTGCTGAACAGCTGGAGTGGCCTAGGAGAACATGTACATAACACACATTGACACCTTTTAGCAGTTTATAAATGCTTCATATAACCAGCCTCCAGTAAATACATGTTGAGTTCTTGGTCTGTGTGTTCTAATGGTATTTGTGCATGTCCCTACTTGTCTGTTTTTCATAACGTTAACGTTACCATGTGTGGACTATATAGACTGTGGAGTGAATGACATATTTTAGAACAACCTGGTAATGATGTTTGGGGCTGTGTTGTTGTAATGCACACCATGCTGTGTGCATTGTGTGAATTTGTGTGTGTTGAAAGATATTGTGTGTATTTTTTTTTTTCCGTCCGTGATGAAGTGTGTATACCGGGTGGCCGTGTGTGTGTGTGTGTGTGATTTAGCGTGTGTTGATTGATATTATTAGGTGTACCTGTGTGCGTTGAGTGCTCTACTGTGTATCTTTGCTGACCGTGTGCTAACAGATCTTCTCTCTCTGTAGGTAACCGTATACTGGCAGCAACGGAGCGGCTGAAGCTTTGGGCTCCACCCACAGGTGACACACTACTGGAGGAAGAGGATGGTCAGCTCACCGATGACAAACCACACCCTGTCCTCAATGACTGGAAATGTGTGTGGCAGTGCAAGTAAGTCAGTCAGACAAACCTATTTTCTGTTCTCTACAGTTTAATGCATCAACATAAAGTTGTATTCTTGAATGAGCAAACCAATATGACTGTGTTTAATTACTTCATCGTTTGGCAAGTGATAAAGTCACTAGCATGAAAGTTTACTGTGCAAATGCTGTTGAAACAAATTATAAACGTCTGCCTAATTGGCACACATAAACCTGCTGCAAGTCCACTGTAGGGCTGTTCAATTTCAGTTCCAAGTGATGGGAAATCAATTCCAAGAGAAGACCCCACTCAATTCCAGAAATCAAATGCTGTTGAGATTGACACAGTTGATGTCCAGATGCATAGATTTGAAAATTCAGCTCTTAGTTCACTGACTGATCTCTCTGACATTAGCAGGCAAAAGTTACCAATTTTAATATTTATAGATAATGTCTCTGTAGCGCGGCCTGTGCTACCCCAGGTTCAGGAAGGACGCTGGAGGCAGGGTTGACAGTTGCAACATTTCCACACCAAACAAACAAAACAACTCACAACCGAAGTTGACCACGTTTCAGTGGCTTCAAAGCTAGACTTTTCAGTCCTTTTCTGAAAGCCAAGCTTTTCAGCTCCTCAGTCTTAGCCAACGGCATCAGCATCAGCTAGCTCTCATTAAGGGAGGCGTGAGCGCCCTAACCGAGAGGGTAAGAGAGCTCGTTGCTGCGCCTCTCAATCACTGCCCCCGCATCTTAGCTGCCAGGGTCGAACGCAAGGTGTAGTCCGGCAGCCTTGCTGTGGGAAAAAAAGGTGGGGCCTGGGCGGCGGAGTTCGGGACTCGTGTCCTGTCTTTGCGCCTGTTGTCGTCACCCTCCCCCTTCTCTGGCGGCTGACGTTCTCCTCCCGCCGTCACTTCAATTCAGGCCCCGCCCTCCTGCTCTCTCCCTCCTGCCAGCTCTCGCGGCTGTCATCTGGGCCCGGGGGATGGGTGCATGGCACAGTCTCGTATTCTCTCTCTCTCTCGTTCTCATACAGAACATGCAGCTTTTTCTTGAATATTTTCATTTTGCTTACCCATCTGGTAAATAATGCCATTTAAGTCTTTTCCAGTGCACTGGGATGGTTTTACTAAACACATGCTTCTCTGTAAACCTTGCATTCATATTTTTTAGCAGTGTCTGTTATCCACTGGTTTAAAGGGAAAAATCATCTTGCACAGGTACTTTTATCTAGCTATTTATCTACTATTATTTAGCTTCTGAACTTCCACTACACTCACATGATGCATACATGACCACACAACCACAGCTAACTGGCCATCTGACACTGTGAGTCAGCATTCTTATCTTATTGGCCAAGAAACGGGCTTGGATCTACATTTATAAAAAATAATTGCAGTTTAAATTGTAGTATTAATATTGGTCTGAAAAATTGCAATTAGATATTTTTTTTTAAATCATTCAGCCCTAAACTGGACCATGCTGTTTTCAGGTGTGATCTATATGGAGCGGACTGTGTGAGGGCTCACGTTCTGTGGGCTAGAGTTTGCTAGATGCAATGGATGGAAGTATATTAGAGGTAAAATGTGTGCTGTAGGGGCTGGGGTGTTCTAGGGGTCAGATATGTACAGGGGCTGTCACATTTAGTTATATTATAACTAAACTTTTAAAAGGCCAAACAATACAAATGGACTTAGCTGAACAATAAGAAACCATGCATAGCTTTTCAAAGATTCTGAAATACTTTACTGGATAAAGATAAATTAGATCTTTATCCAATAAATAAGAAAAACTAGATGTTTCTTATTGTGAGAGCAAGCAGTAGAAGAATGTAAAAAATATACATTGTTGTACTATTAAATGCATGCAAGCTGTGAACTAATCATTGCCGATTTGTTGAAGGTGAATTTTACTGATCTGTATATAATTGAGATTAATTGATATAATTGAGATTGATCGTGACAGCCCTGTTCTGTTCTGCACAGACGGTTGGTGCTAGTTCTCAGCGAAGTGTTGGCTGCAGGGTTCCAGGCAGGTGCTGTTGCTGTGTGTGAGAAGTGCCAGAGCCTGTGGCTTTGGAAAAATAAGGAAATGAAAAAAGATGATTATCAGCTGGCGTTGGAGTGTGATGCAATGTCGGCCTTGCCCAACGACCGGCACTGGATACAAAGCTCACACACACGTGCAACCACTGACAGTTTCACTTTCGCTGAGGCATGCAGTCTGGCCTGCAGTGGCTGTGTAAGTGTGTGTGGTTTGTATTCAGTTAACCCCTGCGTGTCAGTCAGCAGTTAGCAGTTCTTGATGAATGGATTATTTTTGCAAACACTGAATTAAGAAAATTGGTTCCACTTTATTTGTTTAGCCCCCTTTAGAGTTCTTACAGATGTTCAGATTGTTAACAAACTATCTGCTGAAAACCAAAGTTGGGATTGGGTTTTGGGTTTTAGGCTTAGGATTAGCAAGTTAAAGGCAAGGTGAACATGTACAGTGCATCTACTAGTGGGCTAGCCAAGTTAGTGTTAGCAAAAAATACCACTATCGTTATTCAGATTTTTTCAGAAACTTTTCAGAAAATGTGGCACAGCTGTTTTACTAGTGAATTCTGTTCACAGTTTGTTTACAACTCTTGTTTGAAACGCATATCTTGATATAGTACTGTGCAAAGGCCAGAGACCGCCCTTCATTTGTTTAATTTCTAGTTAAAATGGCCTTTATTTACAAGTTATCGATTTTTAGGAGATATTTCTGAGAAGAGTAGAAAGAAGATAGTCCAATGTTAATCCATGATCCTTCTACTGTGAGAAGACAACTCAAAAGGAAGTGTAGCTGTCAAGAAGCCTCACTGAGAAAAGGAGACACATCGAACAAAGAAGCTGAACAGTGGACTGACCACACCAGAGTCCAGACCTCAACACCACTGAATGTATTTGATTACTTCAGAAAATAATCAACCAACTTCTAAGACTGAACTTTGGAGGTGTGTCTGCAGATTTCTTTGAGAAACTCAAAGTGAGTCTTCTGAGAAGAATGGAAGCTGTAATAAAGGTGAAGAGTGACACACTGAATACTCAAACAGCTGATGCTTTTTTCCTGACACTAAAAAATTAGTAACATGCATTTAATGGCCTTTTTGACTTGAAATTAAAGGGTACCCTCTGACTTTTGCACAGAAGTGAACTACAAATGTTGTATATTTTGAAAATGTGTTCCAAGTATTGTGATGTTATTCTGGGCCTTATCGTCTTTCTGTCGGCCTTTCACGTTTGTTCCTGTATGGATATAGATTAATGTACATAATTCTGTGTTTGTGTGTGTGTGTGTGTGTGTATGGTATAACTCCTTCTGTTGATGTCTGTTTTCACAGGACTGCTGCAACTGTACATATACTCAAATGGTCTCCTGATGGGGAATACTTCGCCACTGTGGGGAAGGTAGTGCTTTTATGTACACAAACACACACACACACACATACACACACAATCATCTTGTAGGACTGTTCCGGCAAATTAAACTGCTGTTGTCTTTACCGTACTATAGCTCAGGTGCAGTAATAAAGACTGTAATCGTAAGATTCCCAGCAGGAGGTGGGCTTAATCACACACACACACTGTGGATGAGGAGGTTCAGAACATCTCCACTGTAGGACATCGGGGAGACTGATCATTATGTTTCTTTCAGCAGTTTTTTCAGAGAGAATAGTCCAACATCTCATGGATATGTGCTAGTGGTTAATTTTGTAATGTTTTTCCTGTTTTGGTAAAGGCAGGTGAAATGAAATGACCAGTCAGGGTAGAAATACATTTTCCTGTTTTGCTGGATTTGTATTGTGGCTCAGTTTTGAAACTGTACCTGTAAATGGAACCTTTAATCTTTAGTCCCTTAAAGTCAGTTGAAAGCTTAAATTCAAGTATACTGATAATCAAAGCGAGCAGTTATTTAAGGAGGTGATTCTACAAAAAAAGAAATTTCATATAAAACTGTTTTAGTGTTGCGCTGATAAAACGTAATGGAAGCTGTAAAAAGTAATGACACTGTTTGACTCTCTGTATGACACGCTATAAACATAGACTAAAGTACAGAGACAATTCAGCTGTGCAGCATCAAGCAGTGTCAGAAGGCATATGGGGTGGGGGTGGGAGGTTGATTTTTGCCTGAACTATCACTTTAAAACTGTTTCATACTTTTAGTAAGACAGGAAGTGTGCAGGCTAATAAACATCCAGGCACAGTAATGTGCACTCAGGCTATGGAACCAGTGGGTTACATTTAATATTTGATGGGGTTTGTGAGCTTATCTGTTTGCACTTTTAAGTATTTTTCTCTTGGATGACTTCAAAAAGATGCTCATGCAGGATTTTCTTCAGCAGACAAATCCCTCTGCAGGTGGCTAACACGCTGTAGCTTTGTGTATGTTTAAGGAACACTGTATAATGTACTCCTTGCCTTTCTCTTGAGCCTTTCTCGGTCACTCTTTCTTGTGGTTTCTTTTTTTTTCACTTCTTACGTTTTGAGCCTTTCTTGGTCACTGTTTTCCATGTTTTTTTTAGTCCTGCTTTTCCACTTTTTCTTTTACTCTTTGTTTTTCATTTACTCATTCTTTCTCTTTTTCCATTTGATTCTCCGTTATACACTCTCTCTTTTTATAACATTGCCAGAGCATTGATGAAACAGTGAAAGCTCTCTCTCTCTTTCAGGACGACTGTCTGTTGAAGGTGTGGTACCCCACCACAGGCTGGAAGTCAGCGATGGTGATCCCGGAGGTGCCAGACAGGAAGGCTCCTCTGGTGCATTTCTCCTTCGTCTATCTGGCTCACCCTCGGACTGTTACAGGCTTCTCCTGGAGGAAGACCAGCAAATATATGCCCAAGTATGTCAGTCACTCCACCACCCACTGACACAACACTCACCATCCATCATTTTAGCTCATGATTTTTCCAAAGAAACCTGCATTAGTCAGCTAAAGGGAGCTGTCTGTCGTTCAGAAGTTAGAGAAGTTGTGCTGTGGATGAGGAGGTTCAGAACATCTCCACTGTGGGGCATCAGGGGAGACTGATCATTGTGTATTTTCAGCAGTGAGAGGATATTCCAGCATCTCATGGATCTGTGCTAGTGGTTAAATTTGTAATGTTTTTCTTAGATTTGATCAAGGCAGGTAAAGTGAAATGACCAGTCAGGGTAGAAATACATTTTCCTGTTCTGTTGGGTTTTTATTGTTGCTCAGTTTTGTAACTGATCGCCTGTAAGTGGAGTTTTTAATCTTTCCCCTTTAGTCTTTAATGTTTACTGTTAAAAATTGGTTGGAAAATTAAATTCAAGTGCACTGATAACCAAAGCAAGCAATTATTTCAAATAAAACTGTTTTAGTTTTGCACTGATAAAAGGTAATCTGTTGTTAAGAAATTAGAGAGTTTTAGGGCCAATTAAGAACACTGAGCATGTGGTACAGGTTGACTGGGGGCTAGGTTAAAGCGAAAATGTGGACTGGCTTATGAGCCCTAGCTATGAAAAGAGAAAACTACTGATAGCTGATTAATCAAAACACAGTTAGAGTAGCCTCCAGCTGGAATCAACACAGCTGATCCCCTTGAGGTGTTAAATCCACTGAATGATCATACAACCGCAAAGCCTTGCACTATTAAAATCTTTGCAAACTGATGATGAACGTGTAATGAATTTAATACAATATTGAAAATATGAAATGCAATGGAAATGTAAAACTGTATTTTCCCTCTGATTTTTTCAGAGCATCTCTCATTTGTTGTTTTTCATAGAAATCACTGTCAACGATCAAAAAGAGGCATCTCTGTGCAGCCTGTCAGAGGAAAAGTGGGCGGGGCTTTTGCTGTGGGTTAAAAAAATAATAACTACAGCACAATCCATAGTCAGAATGTGAAAAATGTAAAAATGCTGGCTTTTGCAGACAAATCACACAACTCTGTAGAACATTCTGTAGGACATTCTTACATACAGAATATGGAAAATTAAATCTTGGCCTCAGAATGGAACATACTGAATCTGAAAATATGTGTAACATTACACCCCTATTGCAAGCACTATGCAATATATGAAAATATGGGTGTGTCAGTGTTTGAGTACATGTGAACGCATAGGTAGTTTAAAGTAAGACTGCTGTAGAGAGTTGGAGAAAAATTCACCGACATTGGTTGTGAAAAAGCTTTCACAGTTTTATTATGGACATTTCAGAGCACCGTAAAAGAAGAAATTGCTGACAAATAGTTAATCGTATAAAAATAATGGTTAATTGCTGTTGTAGTTTAAAATATGTGTTTGCTTTTTACTTAGATCTTCATGTTTTTATCCTGATGTTTGTGTGTTCCTTCTTGTCTGGTCATGTGTGTTTAACTCTTGGTGTTTTTGTCTGTGTTGCAGGGGGTCAGTGTGTAATGTGCTTCTGACCTCGTGTGTGGACGGTATCTGTCGGCTGTGGAGTGAAACGCTGCTGCCGGAGGACAGCCTGCTGGGGGGTCAAATCACGGAGAACAGCACCAGCTACAGTTCCTCGCTGCCCCACAGCGGTCAGAAGGACAAGATCCAGCATGCTCTGGAGGTCAGATGTCCAACAAACACACAGAGGCATTCAGCATCACAACTTCCACAAATAGTCTCTGTCACAGAACAGTGCTCTTTATGTATCCTTGCCAATGAGATATTGAAATGCAATTCATTCAATTCATTCATGCAGTTCATTCAAAAAATACACTGTCAGAAACTTTTGGGACACCTTGCCTTATTTCAAATTAGATTTTTCCTGCTGTTACATTACAATGAAATAAGAGAAATTCCTTGTAAAGGTCAAATTTATCAAGCAGTTCTGTGCTAATCTTTGGTGTAGCTTAATGTTCATCAAAGGCTGTTTTCACCCCCAGTTTTTTGCCAAAGTCCAAACCAGGGTTTGGGTTTTTGTGACACTGTATCCTTTTTGGCCCAAAGGTGGTTTAAACTCATGAAAATTTTGAGTGCTGACATCACAAACCAAGAAAGAACCAGTAATATTGCTGCAAATATTTACACATGATATTGTCTTCCTCTAAATAAACATGATTTAAAGGCATTAAAATGGTAACTTATTGCAAAACTGACAAAGAAAATAATTTGGAAAGTTATGAATTTGTGTCTGTGTGTGTGTATACAGTCGATCCACCACCTGAAGCAGCTGAGACGGGGTCGAAGGAGATCCTCTGCACTTGTGGCTCACACAGAGCTGCTGCCCAGCCAGCTTGGCTCACATGAAACACACCGGCACATCACACACCACGCTAACGCGCTGTGCCACTTCCACATCTCCGCCAGCATCAACCCCAATACAGGTACACACGGTCACCTACATAAAAAAACATTTCTGATGTTATTGACTGCTTCTAAGCCGAGAAATAAAAAGGGTTAAATGTTATAGTTTTTGAGACTCTCTCTTTTTCTCTGTCTCCGGCTCCCACGTACATTACTATTCAAAAGCTCGGCATCACTTGTCACATTAATGAAAATAATAATATTTTATTATGTTCATAATTTTAACTTAACTGGTTGATCATTATAATAATTATAATTTTGTTCCTGAATTTACCTGCAATAGAATTAGTAGACTTGTTTCAATCATTACATAATTGCCTAATCACAGTTATTTCAGATGATCATAATTATTTAGATGAGGGCAATCAGATTAAATACATTTTACACACTCGATAGATTTCAGTCATATTATGCTGCAACAAACAAATTGGGTTTGTTGGGTTGAGGACAAAAATGTAAATAAGAATGTAAGAAGGACACGCGTTGATTGAGACATTATAGGGCTCAAGAAAACAAAAAAGTTCTAACTTCTAATGTGCTCTAAAAATTTTAGAGGGCACTGCTGAGTAATGTTTGTTTATTTTTTGGCTGTGTAGCTAATTCTAATGTTTTTAGCATGCATCCCAGCAGAATGTGAGGTTTTTTTTTTGGCTAATATTTTCATGCTGGTGATGAAAGTGTAGCATTGATCAGTGCTGAACTTTTTGTGCGTGTGCGTGGAGTATTGATCCGACACTTGATTCAACCACTGCTAAGTACACGACAGTACAACACTACTAAGTACACATAGCTTGCAAGTAGGACAGCTAATCACCCAGTTTGCCCACTTAATGCTTGTATTTTAATATGAACAAGAAAAGACAATTACATTATTATTTATATGGTAATGAATCATCAGCGATTTGATGATCATGACAGCCCTAAGAATTAGTTTTATGTTATTGAAAATGATGCTTCTGAACCTTTGAACGGTGTTGTAATGGATGTAATGGATGTTTAATATTTTCTCTCTCTTTCTCTCGCAATCTTCCTCTGTCACAGATATCCCGGCAGCGCTGGCTGGTTCAGGACTGTTTTCTCCAGCTGATGGCAATGGGGGGTTTGTGGTGCACTGGCTGAATAATAAAGACTTGAGCTTCACCTCTTCTATGGACCAGTTCATGCAGCAGCTGAGGAAGTTCTCAGAGCAGCACCTGGAGCACACCACTGATGAGCTCAGACAGGACGGCACCGCCAAGTTTGACTTCGGTACTCACTCACTCTCACAACGTCAGAATATCACACATGTATTTGAATTCTATTGTAGTACTTCTATAGTAGTGTAGTGTAATGTTATATAATAATAATAAATTATAGTAATATAGAGGGAAAATAGCAAAATAAAGGCAAATAATAAATAAAAGAAAAAAATTATTGAATAACATTTAACTGAAGAGTAAAAGGCAGTAAAAATACAGTTCCAGGAAGGCACTGGTCCACTAATGTTTACATGAAGTGATTAGTTTTTAAACGCTCATTCAGATCTAATTTGCATGCTGCTGAAATTATGCAAGGCATGTTATCAGACATTGCTGTAATATTAAAGCTTATTTCTATTACTTTAGTACAGCGCTCTTAACCCAGCATGACTCTCTAGAGCTGTGCTTTTCTCATAGTCACAGTGACAGTAGCCATCATCTTAGATAAAATGCATGACCTCTTGAGTCATTGTGGAGTTCTCTGACCTTTGGGCCGCAGCAACTGTATGGCCATTATTTCATAACCCACATCTGTAATTCTGTGAGTCATGAAATCCAATGTTTCTGATGTTTTCACAAAATGTTCATCCACTAGATTCTTTCTCAAATGGGCTGTTTTCAGGTCTCCCCACACTGGAGTTGAACACTCTTGTGTTATAGCACGATTTCACTTCAGACTAAGCATTCCAAGGTATAGCCGCAGCATTCAAATGTAGCCTGCATGTATTTAGCTGGCTTGTTATGTCATAAAATCACAACACAGGTCAGCTAAAATAAAAATAATTCAGCCATTTCCTGAGCAAATAACAGCCAATTGCGATCCTGTCCAATTCTGATTTTGCACTCTTTAATAAAAGTCTTAATCTTGTACCCCACCCGCTGTAGATCTGGATGAAATGTCTGATAAGGCGTCGGAGCACGATGAAGGCGAGCAGGAGGGCAGCACGAAGGCCTCGTCGCCCGGCTCCAGCAGCAGCATGCCTCTGCCCTCCGTCCTCCTCGACCGCAAGATGGAGGCGCTAACCTTGGAGTGGAACAAAAGCCCTGACATGCTTTTCACCATCCACCCGGTCGATGGCTCTTTCCTCGTCTGGCATGTCAAATACCTGGACGAGTTCATCCCCGGAATCTTCCGCCAGGTCCAGGTAGGCACGTCTGCATAAAGGATTGCCTTTTGCTATAAACTGTTAATTTATGATGAGGGGGGTGGACATGATAAACATGGTGATGGCATACATGCTAATAACATCAGTAAGAGCTTCCTACTTTGCTTTAGTCGCTCAGTTTAAGTGTAAATTCTGATGCGTATTGGTGATGTAAAAGTGTTCGGCGAATTTATCGTCATTTGAAAGAATTTGCGTAAATGTGTTTCTGTAAGACTGATGTTTTCGTAATCACTTTATGATTTGGGTGTATCATCCAACACCTGGTGCTAATCAGTACTTCATTATGTTAAATGATGCTGATGGAATCTAACAAATCCATGTGATGGTTGGAGGCATCCAGGAGAAATCTGGGTCTTTGTTCTTCAAACTAAGATATCAGTTCACTTTCTCAAAAAAAAGAAATTCTTGTTACTTTTTGCTGTATTTATGTTTATTTGCATTTATTCTAGTGATATATGTAAGTACACATACTTATTGCCAAGATAAGTAAACTACAATGTCATTTTCATTGCTTTTTTGTTCCAGGTGGCATTCTCCTCACGAATCCCTGTAGCGTTCCCCACAGGCGATGCTAATTCTCTGAGTAAGAACATCATGATGTATGCCTGCACCTTCGCTGAGCGGGACAGCGGGGGCTCTCTAGATCTGGACAGAAAGGAGCGTCAGATTCCTCAGAGCGCATCAGCCTCCGCTGGCCTCAGCTCTCTCGACCACTCCCTCGCTGCTGTGATCGGTCCTGCCGTCATGATGGTGTCCAAGCACGTAGATGGCTCTCTCAACCAATGGGCCGTCACTTTTGCCGAAAAGTCAGCTTTCTCCAATGTTCTTACAGTTTCTCACAAGTTCCGTTACTGTGGACACCGTTTCCATCTCAACGACCTGGCCTGCCACACGGTCCTGCCGCTTCTGCTGACATCATCACACCACAACGCCCTGCTGACTCCGCCCTCTGGCCCAGGTGGTGTTGACGGAGACCAAGAGGCTGGGCCCATGCGACCCGTCCGCCCAATGAGAGGCTTCCCACAGAAGCAGATGCGGAACGCGGCGACACGTACGTTCCACGACCCCAACGCGATCTACAGTGAGCTGATCCTGTGGCGTGTCGATCATATCGGGCCGCTGTCCTGCACTGGAGGCGTGTCCGAACTTGCACGCATCAACTCCCTCCACACATCGGCTTTCTCCAACGTGGCCTGGCTGCCCACACTCGTCCCCAGCTCTGTGCTCGGTAAGGGCTAGGAAGGAAAGGGCAGGTGGGGCAGGGGTGTAAAAATGTATTGATGCATTTTTATGCAAAGTAAGAGTTCAGCTGTGTCACTTTTGGAATGTTAGAACCAATTATAATTAATATTCAGTATAGTAGAGGAGAGCGAGGCACATCCTAACGCAGTGTAACGTGGATGTAGTGAAGTGGTAAAATGGATATTTAATGTATTTAAACAGGTTCAAACAGAATGTGCCTGTTATTGTACAGTAAGAGTAACTTTTTTCATCTGAAGTGTTTTGTTTGATTACTGAGTTGTCTCCATAAGTCTCAGAATTCACTACCATATAGTTTTAATCTCCCTCTTGGTGGCTTTAATATAAAAAAAGTAGAAAAATAATTTTACTCTAGTACTTTGAAAATTATGTTGCAAAAGCCAAAATGTTAGATTGCTCTTCTCTATGATTTTTTTTTAATTGGCAAATAAATCTTGTCTGGCTATTTTCCAATGTACAAATAAAAAAAAAATCTTAGTGTACTGCTTATATTCCATTACTGTGTAAATGGTTCCTACAGCATATTTAATGTATATATAAATAATGTATATGTAAATAATGAAATCACATTGAGTTATGGGGAATTTGAGCTTATGTACCGAAGTGTTGTGTAAAGTATCAAATTTCCTATTAAGAGTAAATATTATGTACTCACTACTGTGAAAGATCACAGTTGACTCCTCCATCAAGTGGCTAATTGGCGTTTTATTTCTGTTTATGACTGGTTTTGTGATTAATGTGTTGGTAATTAATGATTGTTACCAGAAATCCCAGTAATTCAGTATTGTCCTCTCTTTAAGGGACGTATTGCAACTCTGCGAGTGCCTGTTTTGTGGCATCGGATGGGAAGAACCTGCGCTTGTACCAGGCGGTGGTGGACGCCAGGAAACTGCTGGATGAACTGTCTGACCCAGAGACCTCAGTGAGTGTCCAGAACTCCAGCACAGTTTGGCTCCCTGATGCCTTTAACCCTGTCTGCCTGTACAATTATAATAACAGCTGTTTGGGGTCTGTAGGATTTACTGGGTTGATGAAGTTATTAACACCTTTTAAGAATGACTAAGCTAACGACTGTTCTCTTTGTGTGTTTAGAAATTGGTGGGCGAGGTGTTCAACATAGTCAGTCAGCAGTCCACTGCTCGGCCCGGCTGCATCATTGAGTTGGATATAATCACGAACCAGGTGAGATGTGTGAGAGTGTTGCATGTTTGTTGTTATTTATGAATGTGTCTGTATATAAACTGCAATCTATGTCTCAGTATTTAGTGTAATTGTGCAGAATGTGTAGCAGTGAGGTTACAGTTAGAGATGCACCGAAATGGGAATTTTGGGTCGACGCTAAAATCCGATATTTTTTTATGTACCTATCTGATGATACCGATACATAAACATTCACAAAATGTAGAAATTGGAACTAGATCTATCTGGATTAACATCACAGAGAAACAAAACATTTAAGTCTTTAGGATTACAATTGCAGTAAAATGAATAAAACAGATATTTTAGACCCAATGTAGCCTAAACATTCTGCTCTTCCAGAGTTCAATAAATATATAATCAAATATCAGTTTGAAATATCTGTCTGATATCTAATCTCTCTGATGCTGCTATTTCTTTTTTTTTTCTTTTCAAATCACAATATTATAGCCTACCTTATCAACAGTTCATTAATAGTTTAAACAGTATCAGCAGTTTTAACAAGTTTTAAGTGGGCAAGTTTAACCTAATAACAAAGCTTGTGAACTGCCTGTAGAGGAGTTAGACCAATCAGAAGCAACACCATGTGCTCACTAACTGGCAGTCTGATTACATTCAAGAAAAGTGGATATTCTGACTTTCTCTGCTGAAATTTCAAGCCTCGACATTAAAAAACATTGCAGTCACAATATTGGTCATACAAATCGCAACTCAATATTTTGCCCAAATTGTTCAGCCCTATTATATGTGTGTGTGTGTGTTTATGCTGTATTTCTAGCTGGTAGATTTAGATTGCAATATCAGAGTAACAGGATATTTTCTCTCTCCAGTGTGGCTCGACCACGCAGCTGCTGCACGTCTTCCAGGAGGATTTCATTTTAGGATACAAACCCCACGATGACATCGCAGACATAAACGCTGCTAACTTCCCTTCTGCTGAGGGTACTTCTCTTCTCTTCTCTTCTCTTCTCTTCTCTTCTCTTCTCTTCTGGTTTCTTCTCTACTCTTCTCTTCTGGTTTCTTCTATACTCTTCTGGTTTCTTCTCTACTCTTCTGTTCTGGTTTCTTCTATACTCTTCTGGTTTCTTCTCTTCTCTGTTCTTCTTTTCTCTGTTCTTCTTTTCTCTTTTGGTTTCTTCTCTTCTGATTTTCTTCTCTTTTCTTATTTTCTCTTCTGCTTTCTTTTCTTTTCTTATTTTCTCTTCCCTTCCCTTCCCTTCTGGTTTCTTCTCTTCTTTTTTCTTCTGATTTCTTCTCTTCTTTTTTCTTCTGATCTCTTCTCTTCTCTTCTCTTCTCTTCTCTTCTGGTCTCTTCTGGTCTCTGCTGGTTTCTCTTTTCTCTCATTTCTTCTCTTTCTCTCCACCCCCTCCTATTCTCTTCTTTTCTGTTCTTTTCTGTTGCGCTCTCCTAACTTTTTTTTCTCCTGACAGAGTATCGTCCTCCTCCATTCTCTGAGAAGTTCTTCTTGGTAGTGATTGAGAAGGATGAGAATAGGAACTCTGTTCTGCAGATGTGGCATCTGCACCTGAAGTCTGTCCAGGCATGTGTGGGTGAGTGGAACATGCTCAATCTCTTTTTAACGGTGCGTGGGTGCTACACACACCAAATCCTTTTATGTTAGTCACTGGAACATCTTTGACACGATGCCTGCTGTCAACCATGTCCTTATCAAACCAGTAGCGTGGATTACATTGTGAACAGAAAGGAGAACATGTTGTGGTTAGTCTCTTAGGTTCTTTAGATGAAAGACATCAGCATTTGTTCTGAGACAAGCATATCAAATCTATATATGTAGACACTGTTATATCGAAACCTTTTGTTCTGTTTTATTTTTTATTTTTTCACCATTTTGAAAACACCATGTGCAAACATTTCATGATGAAAGGACACATAGAAATGGTCTAGAATAACTTCAAATAGATTAATACATTGAACATTTATTCCGCTTTCCTTACCATGTCACAACACTGACAAAATATATATGAAAATTGGAGATTGTAGACCAGTGTATGGCATATTACAGTCTGTATGTGGTTTAAAAATGTACTCCAAACACAATTAGGCTCCACTGTGACTTGGCCAGAACAGAGATTAATACAAAGTTGGCTTTTTCTCCTCAAGTGAACTTGTTATTGTGGAGGTGCATGGTGGTTTTCTCCCAGCAGTAAATGATGTTGGAGCTGGAGCTGAATCTACAGCTTGGTGGGGCTCCAGAGCCGCCTTGGCTGCCTCTTACGTACAAGACATCCAGCTGAACAAAGGCATGAGTCAGCAGTGGAGAGGCTCTCTGTATGCTTCGTCTGATAACAGTGTGCCACCTGAACTGATAAAGATGGACCATGAAGTACCACTTAGAAGAGCATGAGTCATCTAAATATACTTTTTTCTTGTGGGGAAAAAGACAGCTCAGCATATGTTCATGTAATACAAGTGCATTTCTTTGAGAGCTGTAGCCCAGAAATATAGAAGCAGTAGCGTGACAACCTGAGGATGAGCTCAAAATGTAGTTCCAGATTGCAGTTGTTGCCTTGGTAGTTGTAGCATTGACTGCTTACATTCCCCTTGCATGATGAATATCTTTACACTAGAAGGGAAAAGCATTTCTAATTTGATGTATGTTAAAGAGATTTTAAGTAAGGACTGTTTTTGTTGGTTCATTCACTATGAAATACTCACAGTGTAAATGATGCTGGCATAATCAAAAAAGGTGTAAAAAAAAAAATTTGAAAAAAAGACACAACCAATTTAATTATTCTTTCTCTCTGAATATCTGAAGAGGAACCAGCCCACAAGCAGGTCTTCCAGAACCAGCTGACGGTTCCACACACGTTCAGTAACGCTGACTCATCTCCGGAAACGACTCCAGGTCACAGCCCACTTCCTCGCTCATCTTCCTCTGCTAATCTGCAATCTGCCAGCAAACTTATCCTCAGCTCCAAACTTGTCTACAGCCAGAGGCTAGAGCTCCCCCTGGGTGTGGAGGTCATCCGTGCAACACCCTCTGCAGGTATGGATAAAACTAAGATGCACAGGCTAGAGCCCATGTGTCAGTCCTATCCAGCCCACAAAAGTATTTTAGTTTTCTATTTATATTAACCTGTTTCACAGTGCACTGCACTACAGTCCCCAGCATGCACTGCAACATGATGTGTGCTCTGACTCTCCGACGCCAAAACAATATATGGTACAGCAGTTACACCTCAATTCTACACAATTGTACATAATTCCACACCAGTCATATCACCAAACACACTAACTGCATTTTAGCTGCAGTTTGGGCAATATAAACACTTTACATTAGCTCAGCAGCTCAGAAATTAAGCCCAAGTATTAATGAACTTGCAGCAAAGAAAGGATGCCAGGTGTCTAGTTCAAGCAAAAAGGTAGGTTTAAAATACAGAGCACCTGGGGACATTTAAATTTTGAATTTTTCAAGTATTCATGTAATATTTCTAGGTCTATTATAAGTGCCTATATTTTACTGCTGGAGCTTTTGCGTATTTTGAATAAACAGTGGTCAGTTGGGATTATAGCACAATAACACATTAATTAAAAAGAAATATTTTTTTTTTTCTCTGGCCCATGGATTTGTTGAGATTTTTTAATTTGGTCCCTTTAGTGGTTGAGTTTGACACCCCTGGGCTAGAGAGACAGAAAATATCAGTCAGAGACGTTTATGATGTTGTTTTTTGTGCAATTTGTTGACTAAAATCTAAAATAATTTAAAAAATTTATCATATAAGATGGTCTTAAGTATTTAAAAAATAAGTATTTCTCAAATTAGAAAAAGAAATGGTTACTTTTAACTCTTAAAAGGTCAGACTTTTGATTGACTACTGTGCTTTGTTCTGTTTGTTTGAGTGTTAAAAATTACAATCCGGGGAAATAATGCAAGAATATTTTTTCTCTGCAATGAAGTACACAAACAAAAACTTTCGTGTCAAATTTGGGTCATAATAAATGTTTTCTCTTCTGCTTACAAACACATTATGAATCTGCACTTTCCACACATGAGAAATAATTAAACAAAATCTAGGATTTTCGAAGCATGCATATCATGAAGGACCTAAATAATGTGAGGTCCTTTAAATAATATGATGTTTTCAGTTTTAGTGATTGGTTTCTGGTTTCTTCTTCTCCCAGGTCACCTCAGTTCCTCCTCAATCTACCCGGTGTGTCTGGCGCCGTACCTGCTTGTGACCACCTGTTCAGACGGCCGGGTTCGCTTCTGGAGATGCACTGTGGAGACAGACATGTCTGCACCAAACCCAGAAGAGTCACGCTCATACTGCTGGGAGCCATGGTGCCTGCTGAACGAGGAGGAAGACAACAACAGTGCCCTCAGCGTTCCCGGGCGACCTGTGGCCGTCAGCTGCTCTTACATCGGCCGCCTCGCTGTGGCATTCAAGCAGCTGATGCCTGGCAGTGAGGGTGGATCGTCTAAAGACTTTTCCATGCATGTGTCCATCTATGAGTGTGAGTCAACAGGCGGTTCTGAGTGGGTTCTAGAGCAGACGATCCACCTGGATGACTTTAGCAGACCTGTGAACACCCTAGATTCTAGGGTGAGTGTGGACAGCAACCTGGTGGTGTACAGCAAGTCTGACCTGTTTGTGACCAAAGACAGCCCTAATATAAAGCACTTTGTGCACCTGGACTGGCTGTCCAAAGAGGACGGCTCACACATTCTGACGGTGGGAGTGGGGTCTAACATACTCATGTATGGCCGCATCTCTGGAATTGTCACCGAGCAGACAGGAGGCAAGGATGGCATGGCTGTTATCACTCTGCCACTTGGGGGCAGCGTAAAGCAGGGTGTTCGTTCCAGATGGGTTCTCCTGCGTGCTGTAGATTTGGTTTCTTCAGTGGATGGGACACCATCTCTTCCAGTGTCGCTCTCCTGGGTGCGAGACGGTATCCTAGTGATTGGTATGGACTGTGAAATGCATGTTTATGCTCAGTGGCACCAGGATAAAAAACCAGGTGATTCTGAAGACAATGCCATCAGTTCTCCGGATGATGGCAGCCGCTCAACATCCGTTCCAGCTGAGAGCCGTGGGCGATCTAAGAGCGTATTTGAGAGTGGCACCGGCATAGACGATGTCTTCAAGGTTCCCGCGGTGATCCAGGATGGTGGCCTGTTCGAAGCGGCTCATTCGCTATCTCCCACGCTTCCACAGTACCATCCAACCCAGCTGCTAGAGCTGATGGACCTGGGCAAAGTCAGGCGGGCTAAGGCTATTTTATCACACCTGGTCAAATGCATCGCTGGGGAGGTTGCTGTGGTGAGAGATGTGGAAGCAGGTGAGGGCGGAGCCAGGAGACACCTGTCCAGGACCATCAGTGTAACCGGAAGCACCGCCAAGGACACTATTGTTGCTGGACGAGATGGTGGGCGAGATTATACTGAAATTAACTCAATCCCGCCCCTCCCTCTTTATGCTCTACTCTCTGCGGACCTGGACACCTCCTACAAGGCAGGGGAGGAGGTGGGAAAAGGGGTGAAAGGTCAGGAACGAGAGGTCCAGAAGTCTTCAGAAGATCAGTATGCTGACCTCTTCCAAGTTCAAGCGGTCACCACGGACGACTTTGTCAGCTTTGCCTCAGAGAAGCCGGAGAAGAAGACACGAGTGATCAATCTGTCCCAGTATGGGCCAACCTACTTTGGCCCCGAGCATGCTCAGGTGCTCTCCTCTCACCTGATGCACTCTAGCCTGCCCGGACTCACTCGACTCGAGCAGATGTTCCTGGTGGCGCTTGCTGATACCGTGGCAACCACCAGTGCTGAGGTGGGAGGAGCCACTGATAAACAGTACACAGGTGAGTTTATTCATATTCATATCTTTTCAGAATAAACAGCTAACCTAATGAAGCTGAAAATCAAATGCCTGATTTTTTTTTTTCTTGCTGCTTTTATCTTTAGACAAAACAATAAGAAGAATTGTGACTTTGCAGTGCCAATTCTTATGGAGTACTGTGCAGAATATGAATATGAGGAATATGTAATAAATGAACAGCCTGTTTGAAGAATTAAGCATTTTGTTGCTTTCTTGTTTATCTCTCACGCTCTCCTCCACTCTCTATTCTTTTCATTATTGCTTTCTTAGTACACAACTATCTTTGTCTCTCTGTTTGTGGCTGTCCCTACTTTTTACTCCAAAATAACATACTAATAATGCAGTCTATTCCCCTGTGTGAGTCGAGTACCTCCTTAAATGGCCTCAATTCCCTAATATCACCTTGGTTATCTAACTGCATTGTTTATCCTAGGCATGGTACAATTGACATTAGACTAATTAAACAAAGCAGGCCTTTATCATATTCTCCACTTCTACCTATAGTGCAACAGATCAGATCATATTTATTTAGTCTTGTAGACGAGGTAAACAACGGATGTGAGCAGAGCGTTCCAGACCCAGAGTTAGCTGACAACGAAGCACAGCAGGTTCAGGGACAGCGAGAGGTGTTTTCATTGATGTGGTGCAATTTTTCCAGTAACATAGGCGTGGTACATGTTTTTTCATACACTCAAACGACGGCTCAAAAGAAACTTTTCAAGCAGCTCTGAAACTCACCATCGCCGGAGACTACATTCATACACCTCTCCTATCAGTCTCCAACATCTCTCCTAAATCATTCATCTCCACCTCTCTTCCCTAGATCCCTGACCATCACCTCTGTACTTTTCACCATCTTCCATATACCTTCTACCATTTCCACTACAATCTTCACCACCAGCCCTACACCCTTCACTATGCCTCATACCCCACCTGTCTCCTCTACACTGTTTACCATCTCCCCTACACCTTTCTTCATCTCCCCTACACCGTTCTTCATCTGCCCTGCACCCTTTACTGTCTCCCCTGTTCACAATCTCCCTAAATCCTTCACCATCTCCCCTACACCCTTTACTGTCTCCCCTACACTGTTCACCATCTCCCCTACACCCTTTACTGTCTCCCCTACACTGTTCACAATCTCCCTACATCCTTCACCATCTCCCGTACACCCTTTACTGTCTCCCCTACACTGTTCACCATCTCCCCTACACCCTTTACTGTCTCCCCTACACTGTTCACTATCTCCCTACATCTTTCACCATCTCCCCTACACTGTTCACCATCTCCCCTACACCCTTTACTGTCTCCCCTATACTGTTCACCATCTCCTCTACACCCTTTACTGTCTCCCCTACACTGTTCACTATCTCCCTACATCCTTCACCATCTCCCCTACACCCTTTACTGTCTCCCCTATACTGTTCACCATCTCCCCTACACCCTTTACTGTCTCCCCTATACTGTTCACCATCTCCCCTACACCCTTTACTGTTTCCCCTACACTGTTCACAATCTCCCTACATCCTTCACCATCTCCCCTACACCCTTTACTGTCTCCCCTAAACTGTTCACAATCTCCCTACATTCTTCACCATCTCCCCTACACCCTTTACTGTCTTCCCTACATTCTTCACCATCTCCCCTACACCCTTTACTGTCTTCCCTACATTCTTCACCATCTCCCCTACACCCTTTATTGTCTCCCCTAAACTGGTCACTATCTCCCTACATCCTTCACCATCTCCCCTACACCCTTTACTGTTTCCCCTACACTGTTCACCATCTCCCCTACACCCTTTACTGTCTTCCCTACACTGTTCACCATCTCCCCTACACCCTTTACTGTTTCCCCTATACTGTTTACCATCTCCCCTACATCCTGTGCTGTCTCCCCTACAACATTCACCATCTCTCTGCATCCTTCACCATTTTCCCTACACCCATTTTGCTGTCTCCCTTGTACCCTTCATCATCTCCCTTATACCCTTTACCACATGCCCTAAAACCACCATCTCCTCTCACCCTTCATCATGTTCCCTGGTCCCTTCACCACCTCCCTTGTATTTTTCAAATTCTGCCCTAAATCTTTCACCACTTCCATTATTGCCTTTACAACCTTTTACTGGCTCCACTATACACTTCACCATCAGCCTGCTTATTCCCCTCATCAGCTCCTTATAGCTTCTATCCCACCATCCCTGAGCCCTGCAATCTTCACCATCTCCCTCTAAAAATTCCATTATCTTCTGCCACCTCCATCTCCTCCCCTACGCCCTTCCCCTATACCCACCACCTCTTCACCTATAACTTTATCTTTACCATCTCTTTTGAGTATAGTTCCCCTATACTCGTCACCACTGCTAATGAACCCCTAAGTATCACTCCTCAGTGCTGTTTCTCCTCAGTCTGTTTCTCTGTGTGCCTAGAAATGTGGTATTCGTTAAGTAAATTGCTTGATGTGAAGTGTAATAAGTGTTTAGTTAAAGAGCTTTATGAGTTTGGCTAGCTGAATGCTATTTGATTTTGTAGTAGAGATGGTTGGCCGTACTGGACAAAGCTTTTGTTTTTGAATGAGTCGTTTATTTGACTGAGGGCAATATAAGCTCATTACTCACTGCAAAGGCCAGTAAGGCCTGCTGGGGAAGAATCTCTTGACGGTGTGGTGAGCCGAGGGATGTTTACTTGGTGTCATGTGTCTTTTTGTGCGTGTGTGTGTGTGTGTGTGTGTGTGTGTGTGTGTGTTTTCTCCAGGTGGGGAGGCTTTAGATGAATGTGGCCTGCGCTACCTCTTGGCGATGCGGCTGCACACCTGTCTGCTCACCTCACTGCCCCCACTCTACCGGATCCAGCTACTGCACCAAGGTAACACATGCACTCTCTCACTGCTGGACTAAACCTCTCACTCCAGCCTTATATACTATATACTATATCCCAACACATCTTTTTATCCCTTTCAGTTGATAAAATTTAAGTTTCATGGATTTTTTAGCATCAGCATAAGTAAAGCACAGATAATCTCTATGTAAGAACCACATTCAGGAAAGAAATACCATTTTACCGAAATCAGATTATACTGCAGGCTGTATAGGCTGGTAATAACTGAGTACATGAACACTTCAAATTTGCTCTTGTTTGAGAGTTCAGCATTCTGAGAGTTCTCGTTAAATGCCTGTTTTAAGCTGAAGTTTTAAAGTTATTTAACACTAGTTTGCAGGGGAGGAAAGAGCTGCTGAAAATTTGTACTTAAGAGTACTTTTACTGCAGTGCTAATTTATTTGAGCACAAGTAAAAATATTATTGCAAGAATTAACTCCAGTAAGAGTCAATGAGTTTATTCAAAATCTACTTGAGTAATTACTTTTAGTTACCTTTTTGTGTATCGGCAATCATGGTCTTATTACAGAGTTGGCTTGCCGGTTCAGCGTGAAAGTAGGCATCGCTCTCCGATAAAACTAACCTTTTGGGTAGCGACAGGAACTATCAGATATGCTTACTGCGCTCCTATTGGCTGCGCACTTGGCTGAGGCTTGCCTGAAGTGCATCGCACAAAAGCTGAAAACATTAAGCATTAGCTAACTCATCAATTTCTGGCAATCGATGTAGCACTATTTATCTGAAACTCTAGGTGTCTGTTTAGCCATCAGAATTTTGTATAGTAAAAACTAATGTTGCTTATCAAAAGTTTTAGCATCTTAAATCAGTATGAAACCTTTTCATGTCGGTCTGGCCCTCTTTCCTGCATATGGCACGCTTTTTTCCTTTGTTAATTATCTGCGCCTGTGCTTGTGTGTGCTGTGCTCTCATAGGCGTCTCTACGTGTCACTTTGCATGGGCGTTCCACTCTGAGGCGGAGGAAGAGATGTTGAATATGATTCCGGCCATGCAGAGGGGCGACCCACAATGGTCGGAACTTCGCGCCGTCGGTGTGGGCTGGTGGATTCGCAACATCAACACACTTCGACGCATGGTGGAAAAGGTGAGACACATCCTGTAAAAGACCATACCTGGAACGTACCAGCAGCATATCTGAGTACTTCAAGTATCCCTGAACCTTAGCTGTCACACAACTGGACTATGTCTGTAGCACATCAGCATACCTGCTAGATTACTACTTGACAGTACAACAGTACCACAGTACCCCACTTTCTGACAAATTTTACTATAGCTACCCATACGTAGTTGTACTTATTTCATGTCTACAGATTCAATTTGTTGATTTCTGAGAACCAAATACATATTGTTCACAGTTTCAGCATGAGATGGCGTAGAAGACTTTTCTATACTTTTATATTGGCAAAAGAAGTTAGTCTTTTACTGAGCAGGTCATATATCCATATTGAACTTGTTCAGTACGATTTTTGCAAAACTCTTTTACTTTCAGTGCATTAACCTCTGCTGTTATGGCAACTAATAATTGCACTGATCAAAATGTCAACTATTATTCAGTTATTCGAATTGCTAATTGTACTGTTATGCCTTCTTCGTTTTCTTTTTTCTGCTGCCAGAATCACTGAAAGTTCCATCTGAGTGACTCTTCTTTTATGCTTTTATCTTTTAAGGTTCATATGACTGTGCGGGTCATATGAACCTTATAGATTTTCTTTTTAAACAATGTTTGAACTTTTTTCGTAATTGACATTGTTGATGAGTCATAAATTTAGCAAGGTAGCCTAATTTTTAGCCGAGTAATGGTAGCGGCATTTGACAACGGTGCGTCACATCAGTTGTCTTGTAAGATATATCTCTTTCTCTCTCTCCCACTCTCGCTCTCACTCTCTCACGCCCCCCCACCACCACCTTTTCTCTGTCTTTCTCTCTCTCCTTTGTCAGGTTGCCAAAGCGGCGTTCCAGAGGAATAACGATCCTCTGGATGCTGCGTTGTTTTATTTGGCCATGAAGAAGAAGGCTGTGCTCTGGGGCCTTTTCAGGTACTTGTCAGCTCATCGCTCAGGTCAAGAATGTGTTATTTATATGCCTTGGTCTTCATGATGTTGCGCCGTAGCTTTCAGAAAGTGTTTTATTGCTTTAAAATAAAATTCAGTTATGATTTCAGCTATGAAGAGGTTCACAGCACAGTTCAGGGCATCATGAAATGTTTCATCAGTTGAGTGTTCAATTTGAGTACTTTGGAGTAATTCAAGATTATTTTTAAAAAAACATTGAGCACACCGAAATTGTTTTCAGTAATGGAATTTGGACGATAAAAAAAAGTTTTTTTTCCTGAAAAAAATGCTTATTTAATATTAATACAATTGCATGTAATGTTTTTTTTTCTTCGAATTGATGCAAATTTTTTCACCCCTAGTTTTTCATACATTATGCTTTTTTAATTTTTTGATTGTAAGTCGATTTGTAAAAATATGAAAATGCTGAGTGATGTTAAAATTTAATAATATGTTACATTGATACGTGATGTCATTGATATATATTTTTTTAATATCAGGAAAAATGTTACAGCTTTGAGCTCTGAGTGTAAAGCAGCACCTCATTTGCTTGCTGAGTTTATTTATTTATTTATTTGCTTGTTTGTGCAGGTCTCAGCATGATGAGAAGATGACCCAGTTTTTCAGTCATAACTTCACTGAAGATCGCTGGAGGAAAGCAGCCCTGAAGAATGCGTTCTCTCTGCTGGGGAAACAGCGTTTTGAGCAATCTGCAGCGTTTTTCCTGCTCGCTGGATCTCTAAAAGATGCCATTGAGGTGTGCATACCTTAACCCGTTTTTGAGCAAATGTTTCCCTGTGGTTTTATGCACATAGATGCACCTGCAGTGGCCCATTTAAACTGTGGGTTATACAGTTTGATACAAACATATGGATCCATCTTTGCAGCCCCGACCAGCTGTGTTTGTGTATGTGCTGCATTAACTTTTATTATCTCTAAATCTAAATATAAATAGTGGGCAATATGGCCAAAAAAGTATATCACAGTATATGGTATAGCGTGCGTGCGTGCGTGCGTATGTTTTTTCAGATAAAACAGTTTGATGCTTCTTTACATCTATTTTTAGTTTAACACTGCCAGCCGATAAACTCCACTCACCACATCTGTCATTTAGTTTACCTTGGGCTGGATATTCAGCCACACTCAGTCAAAACATGCAGATAGAGTCAAAGCTGCAGCATGGAGAAACCGCACACGCACTCCGCTCAGGAGGAGTTAAGGTCAAGTATGCACCTGGAAGCACGTCAGCTGTCTGCTCTGGTCCTGCCTTATGAAGGATTTATGTTAGTTTGAAAAGAAAATAACTTTTTTGGCTTCGGTGGTAAAGTTTGTGAAGCTGAAATTTGGGTTGTATACAGTCTGTCAAGGCCAAACGTGATCTCTTAGTACATCAGGGGACAACAATGAATAATTTTAAGATAAATGTGGGATATTACTAGGGTGGGAACAAACTGAGTGTGAAATTTTGGTGATACTTTTTTTAGTGGTCTTTTTTAGATGGAACAAACACTCAATGGACTCTTGGTAACATGTCAAAAACCTATGAGAGTTAGGATTAGGTTTTGGGTTAAGGTTAGGGTTAGGATTAGGATTAGGGCCAGGGTGAGGGTTAGGTTTTGGGTAAGGTTGGGTAGGGTCAGGTTTTGCCTACGGCATAGTGGTGCCAAATAGGACGATATTTTCTTGATATCGTGAAAAATTACACCGCAGTATGCTTTTCTGTGTTCATGAACACTGACCTGCATGTTTAATTATGTATAGTTCATGAACAGTCTTGTTTAATTGGATTTAGTGCAGCAGAGTTGGTGAAACGTAAATAAAACATGAAATAAAAATCATTGTATTCATAGTTTTGGTAGTATTTTTGAAATGTAGCCCTTCTGATTCATATTTGTTTCAACTTATAAACCTCAGAAAAACAAAATATCCTGGTGCATATCATGTACCGCACACCCTTACCAAGATGTGTTTTCTCATTACGAGATCATATCTGGCCTCTCAAGATTGGACTGTATATTTCCTAATTTTACAGAAGTTGTAGTTTTAAATAACAAGTTCAACAACTAGTTCATCCCCCAACGTTCCCCTTATAGCCTGTATTTTGAATTATTGATTTTGTCCTGTTACTGGGAATCCTGCATGATAGGCATGAATTGGCAGGAGCTAACACTGTGGAAAACTGTGTAATTTGTAATTGTGTTATTCTGTGAAAAAAGAAGCTAAAGCAACAGTGTAAATGTTGCGTGTGTTGTATAAAATGTACATGTACCGTCAGTTTAAAGTCATTTTTTGTTTTCAGGTGTGTTTGGAGAAGATGGAGGATATTCAGCTGGCCATGATCGTTGCCCGTCTGTACGAGGCTGACTTCGAGAGCTCTTCCACCTGTCAGGGCATCCTGTATGAGAAGGTTCTGGGGTGCAAAAGAGATGGAACTGGGTTCTCCTGTACCAAACTGCACCCCGATCCGTTCCTCAGGAGCATTGCGTACTGGATCATGAAGGACTACACCAAAGCTCTGGACACACTGCTGGAGCAAACACCCAAAGAGGATGATGAGAACCCAGGTGAGAACCAGTCACAGCAACTCTCTTCTCTGTAATACCTTTAACTCCCAATCACTGTGCCAATCATGACTAAATACCTGAAAGTGAAAACTAGAGAAAAGTCTGTAGAGAAGATCAGATGTAGTTTTTTTTGCCTTGTGTAAATTTACTGCAAATTTGAGAGTCTTAAGCCTTCAGGGTTGTTGTTGTCTTTTTTTTGTCTAAACATTTGATTTACATCACATTAATATGTATTATTTATGTGTAATACTATAACTGTAGAAGTGGGAAATAATTAATGTCATGTCAGAAGAGACGTTTAAATACGTTATGCATCATTAGGGAGCTAGATGGGTTAATAAAGGTGGTATATAAATTTGAATATTTATTACATTTGTTGTAATTATTATTTATTTATGCATTGCAATGATAAATCAACCCTAACTCTTTTTTATTCAAAATTCATTAATGTCTCTCCTCTTACTCTGGTTTAGAAGTAATGGTGAAGTCATGTAACCCCATGGTCTTCAGCTTCTACAACTACCTTCGCACGCACCCTCTGATCATTCGAAGGCACTTTGCCGGTCCTGATGCCTCTTTGGCCACCGTGGGGCTGACGTCCGAGCGCAGCAGCGCTGACGAAATCAACCTGATCGAGCGCAAACTGTTTTTCACCACCGCTAATGCTCACTTTAAGGTGGGCTGCCCCGTTCTGGCCCTTGAGGTCCTGTCCAAAATTCCTAAAGTGACCAAAAAAGCCTCATCTCTCAGCAAAGGGTCGTCCCAGGCTAACGTTAGCACGTCCCAGCCGCAGGAAAACGGAGGCCGGGCAGTGGATCTGGACTGGGGTGCTCCGGTGCCGAGCCAAGCCTGGGGTGCTGAGACCTCTTCAGGTTTGTGGATGCAAGGTCTCTTATACAGTACTTTTATATGTTTTATGCCTGCTTTTAGGGGCCCATATAATGAAAAACAAATTTTCCTCACTTTTTAATGAGAGAGTTTTATGTAAGCATTGTTAAAGTTTCAAGTCATACCATTTTCTCCCCAGTTCGTAACAGCTTTTGCAATGTCACGAAAACCAACAAATTAACTTTTATCTGCACACTCACCCATTCCCACCATTCTCACTAAGGTTTGGACTGGAGCCAGCCCATGATAAAGACTGAAGATGAGGGACTGCAGTTGAACTGGGGAGACGACAAGGATGAAGATGAAGAAGAGGATGGTGGGCTGACGATGAAGAAGCCGGAGGACTCAAAGGAAAAAACAGGAAGTCTGCAGAGGGAAGATTCCGCGGGTGAGTCGGAAGTGGATGTCATCGCAGAACAGCTGAAATTCCGTGCGTGTCTGAAGATCCTGATGACAGAGCTGCGGACGCTGGCCACGGGTTACGAGGTGGACGGCGGTAAACTCCGCTTCCAGCTCTACAACTGGCTGGAGAAGGAGATCGAGGCCATGCATCGCATCTGCAACTACAAGGCTGGTGTTCCTCCTTCTGTTATTTTTACAGCACTGTTTAGACACATTATGGCCTTTGATGGGAATCATACGGTTATTGTATTTTACTATTACAATCACATTTTTATTGCTTAAAATAGGTCATAGATTCTAAATAATTTTTGGTGATTTTTTTTTATTTATTTATTTATCTGTGTATGTGTTTTCTTGCTTACTTTTACTGCTATTCAGGTTGAAGGGAAGGAGCCAGTAGGGGAGTTGGAGAAATGGGGCGGTGATGGTTCGATTGATCTGGATGAGTCCCTGGAGAGGAGTGAAGCCGGTGCGTATGAGCGCCACCAGCTGGAGAGACGGCGCCTGCAGGCAAAACAGCTGCACGCAGAGCGGCGTAAGGCCTGGCTGAGGAAGAACCAGGCTCTACTCAGAGTCTTCCTAAGTTACTGCAGCCTGCATGGTGCCAAGGGCGGCGGGGTCACCTCCGTCAGGATGGAGCTGCTTTTCCTGTTGCAGGAGTCTCAGCAGGTCAGTGTGTGTAGGGGTGTGTGTGGATGATGGGATGTTTATGGTCTGTGTGAATTAGGGCTGCATCATGTATAATCATTATCACAACTAGGGCTGAAACAATTTCAATTCAATAATGTCAGCAATATAAAAGAATGGCTTCATTCTGTCCATAGTTGATTTTCCATTTACATTTTCAAAGTGTCTTCAAAGCGCCGTCTTTTAAAGCTCTAAGCATAAACTTTGTTTCCTCTGCAGACCAGTTTTGACGCAAATGCACATGCACAGAATGTACTTAAACTGTCAGATTGGGAATGTAATCAAATGCAGCCATTTACGTGGTTATTATTTTTCTATATGAGGGATTATTGACAGGATTACCCACCTCGTTCAATCGGATACAAATTGTATTCTGAAAGGCCTCAATCAGGCTAGTTTATTCTGATATATTCTGCTATTAGTCAGACTGTTAATGGATAATTAGGATGCATGTAAACGTGGCTACTGTAAACAATTTGTCAGAATCAGCTACAAACAGTACTGAAGCTCATCATGTTACATTACTAACATTAGTCACTGGAACATTCTGAGCTGCTGATTAAAAGTTTTTAGCAGGTACTTCAGAACCCTATTGAACATTTGACAGTTTGTCCTGTCACAGCACTACATAGTTCATAGCAGTACATTAGCTAGCTAAATACGTGCAACTGCCTAATTAGCTTTAAATAAAACTCGGTTGGTAAATGCCGTCTGCTTGTCCTGCAGTCGTCTTCACACAGAGATCATCTGGTGAACCAGCACATTAAAATGTTAAATTTGCAGTTCAAAGAGCTTTTAGCTGTTGCTTATTACTGATTGAAGCTCAGACTTATGGGGCAGCTTAAACAAAACACCACATCTGTTTTTTTTCTGTGGTGGCAATAAAATAAAGAACAGAAAATAGAAAAATAATAAAGAACAAAGAAAAACATTGTTTTGTAATTTAACAACGGTGAAGCAGTTGCAGTACAGATTAGGCCAAATTAGAATAAAGAACAATGTTTAGTGTGGGTGAGTGTGTGGGAGGGTGTGTGTGTGTAAAGCCACCTGCCTTACTGCAACAGTTGTAGGAGTGTGTAAAGCATTCTGTACTTCTGCACTCGCAGCATGTGGGACAGAGTTTTTTAGACTGTTTTATTCAGCAAGTACTCTTTAAAATCAGGTGTAAAAGGACAATTATAATTATATGGTATGTTTATAGTTTATACTCTTCAGATTAATTCAAAGGAGAAACATGGGTGGTTATATGTTGTTGAGTACAGTAGTATATTGTTAGGATAAACAGCAGTGTTTTGTGACGTTTTTGTCTCCTAGGAGACAACAGTGAAGCAGTTGCAATCTCCGTTGCCATTGCCGACCACGCTGCCCCTCCTCTCAGCTAGCATTGCCCCCACCAAGACGGTCATAGCGAACCCTGTGATGCACCTCGGCAACCACATACACGATATCCTCTACACCATCGTCCAGATGGAAGCTCCACCACACCCGGACTTACTGGATGACAGGGTGAGAGAGCAGCACACACACAAACAGAATGACATACATGGGTGATATGGCTTCTAGTGTTTCATTTAAAAAGCGCTCTATATAATGTTCATATGATCCACACAGTCATTCTGACAGACTGTAATACACTGCAGGAAGTGTAGAGGGCGATATGGCTTCTATTGTTTCATTTAAAAAGCATGTTATAATGCTCTTTCACGTTCATATGATCCACTCTCTCTTTTTTCTTTTTTTTTTACTCTTTCTTTCACTTTCTCTTCTTTTCTTCTTCTGTTTTCTCTTTTATGTATTGTTAATTTGTTTGTTTTTTTCTATATTGCAGGTGAATGCTCTTCACACTCTGGCTGCTTCTCTCTCTGCCTGCATTTATCAAGCACTGTGTGACAGTCACAGCTACAGGTATTCACTTGCTTGCTCGCTCTCTCACTCACACACAAGTTATTTTATAACATTTTTCTGAAACGTTTTTAAATGGAATAAACTCTATTATCAGGTATAACAGTTGTTGCACAAGTTGTAATGACCATTATTGACCATTATGTTGTTGTTATTCTTTTATGGCAATTACAGAGCATAGCAAAAGTTATATCTGTTACGTGATGCCGCTCAGTGTCTGGTCTGTGTGGTGGGCTTAACACCTTAAGTTTCATTTACAGATTTGTTAGTCATTTGTGTTTCATATGTTTTACACACATAAATGTATTTTATGCACATAATAATAAGGAGTAATTCAGTCCATTGTTGTTTTATGTAACACGATTTTATCTCCCAAACGCAAACCCACACTGCTGTACACTTCACTCACTTAACACGCACTCCCACACACACCTGTCTGTCCACAGTAGCCAGACGGAGGCCAATCAGTTCACAGGGATGGTGTATCAAGGGCTACTTCTAAGCGAAAGACGGAGGCTCCGGACAGAGAGCATTGAAGAGCATGCCACACCCACCACCGCACCCGCTCAGTGGCCAGGTATACAGATGGCAGTTATTACTGTGTATATTCTGTGTGTGTAAGAAAGCATCACGATACATTGATTGAAGGTGCTGTTTCAATAGTCTCACATGGCAAGATGTGATCTCATAAGGAGAACACTCATCTGGAGACAACTGGTTAAATGTTTGTGCTGGATTGTGGTGAAATCTGCCACTAACAGGGTACGTCCCCTCTAAACCCTGTGTGTCCAGACTTTGATACTATAGTTTGAAATATACTGAAATTGGATACCGTATTTAATACCAAAGGCAGACAAAATTGAGGAACTTTTATTTTTTTCAGATAAAAGCATAAAATTTCTCTTTTAAATCACTGTTCTAAAGTGAGGCTTGTGTTCACACAAGGAATTCAGATAGAGCAGCATGAGAGACAAATAGAAATACAGCTACTGTGTCAACAACCTTAATAACCAAATTCTATAAATAAATGTGGAGGCTATTATTGGATGCTGTTAGGTAATTTCAAGTTAGCTGAGTTGTCGTTAGCTAAGGAGCAATCGCCAACCTCTTGGGATTCTCTGTACAGGTCAACGTGCTGATAATGCTGGTAACATTTTCTGATAGGGACATTTAGGCTATCAAAATATCCTATCTGTAGTTTTAATACGAGGCTGAACTTGTCTTCCTGTTTGCCAGCTTCTTGTTTGAATTTTCCCATTCCACCTTAAATGGTGCAGCAGTTACAGGTGCCAGAAAGGCATCTGTAACCCTGCGTTCACACCAGCAGCAAATTTTCATCGCCTGTGGCCATTCCTGAACTCGAACTGACCACTGGTTGCCATGATTTCACTGATGCAAGCACGCTGCTCAATCAGCGAACTTGTAGAGAGGAGAATTACCGTTCTGTAACGTGTTCCGGGTTTCTCCAACACTAGAGGGCGCTCCTAAGTGAGCCTAAAATTAATGGGTTGGTATGGAGCATTTGAGCAAAATCATAGTTTGTAAATGCTTATTGTTAGTGTAAAAGAATGCACACGGAATAGCATAAAACATTTTAACGCTGCTGTTATATTTTCAAGAGCTTTTAAACTCGAATTACAGGAGTTTAAAACGGCGCCTCATGTACGTCCATGACCTCTATGAGTGCGAACAGCCAATGAGCTGCTTCGCTCGCCAGCCAATAAGTACTCACTAGCAGTAATGTTAGTGTCCTGCTGCCCAAAACCTGTTTGCTATAGAAAAAAGGAAACATACAAGTGAGTTTCTTTGCTTTTTTTAGTGAAATACATCCTTCTACTTTCTAAAATTAAAGAAACCTTCTGGACAAGTGATTAGGAACTATTTAAATTTTTTGTTTCTAGCCGTTGAGCGCCATTTACTCCCATTCATTGAGGACTCATTTGTGGGCGCCCTCTGCTGTTTTGCAGTCCTGTTTTTGATATAATAGGGGAAATAGGAAGTGGCCAGGCTCCTCATAAACCTGCTCTGGCTGCTCACTTCCTATTGGTAATCGTGCCTCCTCCTGTAGCCGGAAATCGCCAGCTCTCACTGAAAATGAATGACCTCCAGCCGCTTTGTCACGTTGTGTCACTGTGCTGCCAGTGTGAATGCAGGGTAACTGCTGCAGCACCACCTCCACTGATGAGAGAATACCATTGAAGACAAAAGGTCCTCATTAGCATCCAGCGTAACACTTTTTATCCAGCCCATTAGCTCATCTGAAGAGGCGGCTTCCGTTACTCATCCAGCACTAAAATATGTTTATAAAGTTTGTGCTTCTGTATTTTTTGCACTAGTGCTGTCACCTAAATAAAAACATAAGCCTACAGCACATAGGTCAGCCTGTATTATATTTGGCCAAAGCTTCATGAGCTGTCATGAATACTCGAATGTTAAAATTAGTTGGAATGCACGTTCCTAGTGCAAACACGGGTATGTTGGAGGCAGGGAGGATGTATCCGAAAGAGATACGGGAATATCATGTTTTAATTTACATGCTCCAGTTGCCTGAAAATGCCACCTAATTATTACAAACAGTAAACAAACTGCGAATGTTTGAAGACTATGAGCAGAGCAGTGCTGAGTGAGACTGCAGTGTTGGAGGAGAGAGAGCGGATGGGTAATTAGGCTGTAGTGAGAGGTAATTTGATGGAGTGCTGGACATGCACACTAGCTCGCTTTAATTAGATAATTAAATGTAGTTTGCTGCAGCAGGATGATGAGTGTGGTCAGCTGTATTGTTCTGCCTGTGTGTGCTTAACCTGGCACATCTGGAGACAAGACACAAAACAGCAAGGCAGTCGCAGCCACACAGTGCTGAGCTCCGAGATATTATTGCGTTTGGAAAATTGTATGTTAGATTTTAAAAAATAAAAGTTCTGTTGTTGCTGTAACATTACATTGACATTTCCTGTAAATGAATGGCCATTTTTTTCACAGAGGTGACTGGGCATACTGTCCCCCAAAGTAAAGAGCTTCAAAAATGATTATTTTTATACTCGATTACTCTGTTAAGTAGTCTTCAAAGTTGTCGGCACCCAGATAATGTTAGGGCATGCTCTCAAAAAATAAAGGTACATCCATTGTTGGTTCTCCATCGCTCCAACAAACACTAAGTTATGAAGCTGGAATTGTTCAGGCCAGACATTCCTCTGAAGGTCAGAGTAGTCTGTAGTGTAAGCCTGCTATAGAGAAGTGGACAGGTAATCTGTAGTATAGGATTATTCTTTGGTTATAGCTACACTCACACATGCAGCTCATGTATATCCAGCAGTGGGTGAATTTTGCGGAACATTTGGACTGTGTTTATCCTGAGATTCTGCCTAAAAGGTTTCTAGCAGCAAAACTAGAAGTTAAATTAGTACAAGCTAATGAATAATGTAGAGAGTTTTATGTGTAGTAGAGAATAAGTCTTGTTTAGTTTTTCATTTTGTTTAGAATAAAATTTAACCCCAAAAACTCACAGTGTCTGTTTGTTGTCCCACATTTTAGTTCCTCATTCTCATAACTACAGAATTTACACTTTAGTTTCACACTAGATACTCCATAACTCATACTACATGCTGAATGATTAATATATATTAATATATATATTATAGTTACTGAATATTTCATAGTACCTTTTTAAATAACTCATAAAAGATATTGAATGATTAATAGTAGTTACTAAATCATAGTGGTTGCTAGATAATAAGTCTTAAGATTAGAGGAATAGTTCAGTCAAAAAAGCAAACATGAAGGCCACCTCTTAGTTACTTTTCATTCATTTTTCCAGTCTCGTGAGCGTGTTTGGTCGATGTATTCCAGGGTTGTCCAGTCTTTAATCTACAAAAGGCTGTTGTGGCTGCAAGGTTTCATTGCCACAAAGCCAGAGCACACTTCATCAGTTCACACCAGCCCTTTGCAGACTTGAATGGCCACCCGTGGTCAATTTACTGCACAAGTACAGTAAAGAGCAAGACGAGCAAAAGTATTGCCGTACGCTATTATGCAGATGCATAAATAGAAGAAGTAAAGATGTATATAATAAAATACACTACAACAACCATGAAATATCATGTACAGTTTGAAAATAAGTAAGTAAAATCGCGTAAATATTATGCAGATGACAATGCAGTGGTGCATGTCACGTCCAATGAATGACCGAGTGACTATGCACTGTAATCTGTAATGTATGTTAATAGTTGCACATGCATGGGTGTATAAAAAGTAATGTAGTGTATGTATGTAATATGCATAGATTTATAAACATAGAAAAGTGGCATAGTAAGTGGCATAGTAAAAAGTAGAGAGGTAAAATGTCCAGCTCGTGCCCAGTGAGCCTGTCCTGTCAGTGGCTCAGTATTCAATAGTGTCCCAGAATAGTGATGAGGTGTTGGTACAAGCGATCTCTTGTACCATACCTTACTCCAGCGGAGCTGAATGAGTCTGTTGCTGAAGGTGCTCCATTGTCTTTAATAGTGGAATAATAAGCCTGCAGTTTAAGGAATTGTAATAATCAGTGCAGAAGTACAGTAGTTTATCCATGTTAGTACAATATTATTTAATCTATCTCCCTCTCTCTTGCAGGTGTGTCATCTCTGATCAGTCTGCTGACGTGTGCTCAGGGTGAAGACCAGCCACGGTTGAATGTAATGCTGTGTGAGGCAGTGGTGGCTGTGTATCTGAGCCTGCTCATCCACGGACTCGGCACACACTCCAGTAACGAGCTATTCCGGCTGGCGGCCCATCCGCTCAACAATCGCATGTGGGCCGCTGTGTTTGGAGGAGGAGCCAAACTCATCGTCAAACCCAAACGGCCCCCGGAGATCGCCCCAGGTGAGTCCAGATGCGCTTCAAATGATGGGTTGAAACAAAAATTAAATTTACACTTTACCGCAAACGTAGATCAGACAAGATGTGTGAGTCCAAAGTTTGTTTCTGTAGCCACTATGTGGCTAGTGTTAGCCAACAAGTAATGGAAGCTTATACCCCTTACTTTCTGTCTTATACAGTTTTAAATTTATACTTTTATCTTTAAAAATATGTCACACAGCTAAAACAGTAGTGACAACCGTCATGAAGCCTGAATTTTGTCCATGTTTATTAGATAGCAGTGTGTCACACAGTGTCAGAAACCACATAATCAAGTCTGTTAGAGATGATTACCGAACAGTTTCACATTTTTGTGTGATAATTTATCACCATGCTAATTGATGTACATACGCTTCCATTACTTGTTAGTTACATTAGTCTCGTGGCTCCAGTACAAAAGTATTGAAGGAACCTTCAGACACAGCTACATTTGTTGTAAGGGTTTGGTCCATCTGAATGGCCCAAAAAGTCCAAAATCAAAAGGTTTTTGTTTCCCAGACCTGCTGCTGTGCTGGTGTTCCACTTATCAGGACAGAGTTGAATAATTACAACGGCATTTTCTGTGACCAATCAAATCTGGAAACTCAGTTTTACCCCGTAATGACAGTAGAAGATGTTGATGTTGATGATACAGTGATTGATAATACAATTTTTCTTTGTCCCTTTGACTTTTGAGCCAAATACATGGCATGTCTAGAAGAACTAGGAAGCAGCGTTCCTGTCTCTGTTTTGTTTGAAATGTGGACCATGTAGCCTCATCTATTGATTTTAAGTTTTGACAGTGGAAATATAGCTAAACCGTAACAAACAGACAGCCACATCAATATCTGGACCCCTTTTGGGTTCTTAATGGTTCCTGTGGAAAGCCCTAACTCCTTCACTGTATCTCGCTGTAGATTTCATATGCTTCATCATGCTTAATCTGTCTGGGAAACCACCCCTTTAGGACATCAGCTCCATTGTGGTTCTCTAAGGACACTCCTTTAATGACTTGTAGTAAACTCTGAGACATCTACCCAGGTTTGTGTGTGTGTGTATGTGTGTGTGTGTGTGTATGTGTGTGTGTGCACATGGACTGGAAGCAGGCAGGTGCGTGGTATACAGCACTGTGCAAAAGTCAGAGACCACCCTTTTAATTTCCAGTCAGAAAGGCCATTAAGTATAAGTAATTAATTTTTTCAGAGGGCATTTATGAGGAGATTAAATGAAAGATAATCCACTTGCATAAGGAAGGAAAACGCCGAAGGAAAAAAAGTAGAAAAAGAAGTTCCCAAATCTGAAGTTCAAAAAATTATTAAAATCTACAGAAAAAAACAGGACTCCTAACAACAACAAGCACTGTTCCCATCAGATAAACGGCGCTTAAAGCTTTCTTCGAGAGAGGAGAAAATCAAGCTGCTTCATATCTAAAAAAAAAAACAGGTGTTTCTGTCCATCCTTCCACTGTGAGAGGACAGTTCAGCGCTATGGGTCTGAAAGGATGTGTAGCTGACAAGAAGCTTCACTGAGAAAAGGAGACAGACACATCAAGCAAAGAAGCTGAACAATGGACTGACCACCCCAGAGTCCAGACCTCAACATCACTAAATGTGTTTGATTAGTCAGAAAATGATCAACCAACTTCTAAGACTGAACTTTGGAGGTGTGTCTGCAGATGTCTTTGAGAAACTGAAAGTGAGTCTCCTGAGACACTGAATACTGACAAATCTGATGTTATTTTATGATATTATAGTTAGTTTTTAAATGTTTTCTGAAAAATGAATCATTCGTACATAATGACAGGTTTGACTGAAATGTATATAAATGAAGGGTGCCCTCTGATGTCTGCACAGCGCTGTATATGTGAGAGCGAATGTGTGTGTAATGTATATCATTGCGTTCTGTGCCAGCTGCGTTAGAGGCAGCTCCTCAAGAGGACCCTCAGGTCACCCCCCCAGCGCTCACTCTCACACCTGCACCCAATGACACCCAGACCGGTGACGATGGTGATGTCTCTGTGGAGACAGAGACGCAGTCAGAGAGCTGTGAGTAACAGTAGGCGGGCCACACCCCCACACACGGAACCAGAAAAGAGCACAGAGGACAATGGGTGCATGTTCTGGCCATGTAGGGCTGCAGCTTATGGATTCATCAATGAATCGATTAATGTCTAGACTACTATTTGATCACTAATCAGACCAGAATGCCTTTTGCTGTCTCCTCTAAATTCTCCCTATCTCAATGGCATTGTCTGTCAGTGTCCAGTGAGGGACCCCTACACTTCCTGTAGTGTATTACAGTCTGTCACAATGACTGTGTGGATCATATGAACATTATAGAGCACTTTTTAAATTAAACACTAGAAGCCATATTGTTTGAGATTAATCAAGTGTGTTGACAAATCATTGCAGCCCTGTAACCTAGTGGTTTAAATTTAAGTGTATAAAGAACGAAGTGTATTATGGGTAATGTAAAATTTCAAAAGTAGACATATGCTGTTTTGTGGTGATGACAGCAGTGTACCCAGCTCTCTGTAGCTCTGCCAGTGTGTGGGTGAAATGCCTGGGTTTGCAGTGGGATCTGCTGGAGTGCTGAGAGTTCTCTTTCTGTCAAAAAAAAACAGCTTCAGCTGTAGAACCTGTTAGAGATACTGATTAACACAGATTTACCTGCACGTCTGTGTGGTTTTGTGCATTTTCTTTATTCTTTTAGAGAGTCTTCTGTGTGCTCGCATGCATTTCTGTTAACATTTCATCACCATGAGCATGTTTGTGTGTTCGCGTTTTTCAGCACTTGGCTGTTTTGTCAGCTTATTCTTATGTGCTTGCAATTGTGTGTTGTCTGTATATGTTTTGTGTGTATGTGCAGCTGATAGTATGGATTCAGAAAAGACAACAGAGCAGCAGATTGAGAGTAAATCACATACAGGTACACTGTTACCCTATTCTTGTGTCTCTTTCTTTGACTCTGTTTCTTACTGTCTTTCCTTTCTCTCTCTCTCTCTCTCTCTCATCTTTCTCTTTGCCTCACTCTCTCTCTTTCTCTCCGTCTCTCTTTCTCCTCATTCCTCTCTCTTTTTTTCTTTTTCCTCCTTCTTTCCTCCTTAAATTCTAACTGAGGCGCCGAACGTAAATGCGGCACCATTTAAGGTGGAATGGGAGAATTCAAAAGAGAAGCGACTTCAGCTTTGTCACTTTTTAGTTTTTGATAGTCTCTCGTTGCAGGTATAACGTACCAGAAAACCAACTGCGGTGCTTATAAATGCGAGTAACGCATCGCTGCTATGTGACCTGCAGTCTGCAGTCGTTGCGAAACAGGGCTTTCGCGCTATGTTGCACACGTGCTGTCTCAAAGATATTTTACTGACACAGCGACCCCCCCCCGTCTCTACAACAAGACCAAAACTGAAGGTATAAAATCACTAAAGAAAACAGGTAGAATAGCTGTAATGTGCTGCGTGGACATGCAGATGAGTAGCAGCAGCTTCTTGTGCTCCAAACAAGAGCAGTGAATGAGAGCCTTCTAGTTCACTTCCATTTGTTTTATTAAAAAAGATATTGGAAGTAAATTCATTATGGATCATTACAAATACTTTGCTTTAAAAGTACCAAGTCACTTTAAATAACAATAACACTGAGTCACTTAGTCACTTTAAAATGTATATTGTCTCTACATTCTGTATATATTATTTCAGTTGGTTTTTCTTGTATCTTTATTTTCACTTATTTACTTTCTGTAGAGTGATTAGCTGAGCCTCACCACAAGCATTTCAATGCATAAATGTCCTGACATGTTGTGCAAATGACAAATAAACTTGAAACTTGAACTCGAAACTTGAGCTCACACAGTGAAAAAATATAAATGCTATATAGAAAAAAAAAGATACATCGAGATGCATCGAAAATCGTTTTATAATCGCATCGCAGCCCTCTGAATCGTAATCGAATTGAATCGTGAGGTGCCTAGAGATTCCCACCCCTAATAACCAGATAATAATCTAACAATAAACTCTTGGTTCTTATTATGGCCAGCTGTGCTGGATCACGTCCGTTTTTGTTTTGTCATTCTGTAGCTCTGTATCATTCCTCCTAATAATGAAGTTAAACCAGGCACATGGCTGTCAGAAAACACTAGAAATGCTATTTACTAAGTTCCAGCATCAGCTTCAAGCTCTGCTTACAGGATGAAACAGCTGCTAGTTTGTATTTTACATGCTTAAACCCAAACAATATGGTTCATCTTAATAGGGAGTTGATCTCTCTATGCTTTGCCCAGAAATGCCTCTGTTATGAGACTGGACGAGTTATACAGGACGCTGGGAAAAAATCTCATTAAGTTGAATGGATAATCGACTTTAAATGTAGGTATTGTGATATAAACTGAGTCTGTTCTGCAGTTTCCCATTAGGTTGAATGAATAACTGACTCTAAATGTAGGTATTGTGATATAAACTGAGTCTGTTCTACAGTTTCTCATTAGGTTGAATGAATAACTGACTCCAAATGTAGGTATTGTGATATAAACAGTCTATTGTACAGTTTCTCATTAGGCTGAATGAATAACTGACTCTAAATGTAGGTATTGTGATATAAACTGAGTCTGTTCTACAGTTTCTCATTAGGTTGAATGAATAACTGACTCCAAATGTAGGTATTGTGATATAAACAGTCTATTGTACAGTTTCTCATTAGGTTGAATGAATAACTGACTCTAAATGTAGGTATTGTGATGTAAACTGAGTCTGTTGTACAGTTTCTCATTAGGTTCTCATTTTCTTTTACCAGAGTTAGTGTAAATCCTCTCCAACTTCACAACAGTAGCTACAAACTAACACATTTGTAGGTTTAGAATCAGTACACAAGCATAGACTCCTCTAACATGCTCAACCCTTACTTTCTCTTTAACTCACTACCTTACCCGAGCATGTTAGTTTGAGAGCAGCTCTCATCCTTTTGTGTCCTGTCCCTGAATGCGTGTGGACTTTG